GTCAACCTGATCCAGGATCAAGGAGGCTTCTCTGGGACTGCATGGGATATGAACGCCTCCCCTTTCAGTCAGCAGAAAGGGCAGTTTCCCCTCACACAGGGGGACCAGCCACTTGCAACTCCTCCCCGCTCCGTACAGGAAAACTTTATCTCTTCCTCCATCGCTGCTACCAGTGCAGATGGAGCAACAACCCCTTTTCTTCAAGCCAGCCGAACAAGGACCCACTGCAGAAAGTTGAGGTGAGCACATCATGAGAGAATATGGTCTGGTCTGTAGTAGCAAAATATTAAAAAGAGAACATCTCCCACCCCCCTTCCACCAAATACATTGCGTCTCTCTAGCCCAATTTCTCTTTGTCCCTCTTTTCAGCTCCCACTATACCCTGCACTCCCAGAAGCCATGCTCCATCAGACTATGCTCTGCCCATCAGTATCCCTGCTTCTATCCTCTGTTCTTAATCAATTCTGTTCCCGCCAGGCTACCAATTCTCTATCCCCTCCCTCCACAGACTCCCAATCCCATTGCTGTTACCATCCTTTAGTTTCCTCTAAGACTCCAGCCGGTCATCACTTGCCCCATTGAGACCACTCACTGATCCTATGCTGCGCTCTGCACTCTCCTCCCTACAGCAAAACTGATCTGTGTCCTCCCCCTCCCTCCTGTTTTATTTAACTAGGGGGTCTATGCACCAATGAAGGGCTGATCTCAGACTCAACTGCCTCCTTCATTTCTATGGCTGGAAAGCCACGAACAATCTGTTATTGGTGCTCCCCTGCTTCCCCATAGAGCCAAAACAGAGTAACAATCCTGCTACAGGCTCCCTATCATGCTTCTTGCCTAGCAGAACAGCCAGGGCAGCTCTCCTCCTGCAGTGAGGCAGCAGTGATCGGGGGGGGGGGGATCTGCTCAGCAGCTGCAGCAGTTGAGACAGGGCATAAGAGCTGAGCGTTTCCTGGTATATGGGAAGGGGAGGACAGTGATTAAGCTCCAGGCCTGGGGGTAAGGTAGGGTTCTATTCCTACCTCTGCCATACCCAGGGCCACACAGGAAGACTAAGTCAATTTGTGGCTTGTCCTATGCTAATATGCAGGAAAGAGAAACAAAGAGCCTCCCCGCCCCCCCCGCCCATGGAGAGCAGCTCCAATCAGAGTCCCTATAAATCCCTGAGCGCAAGGACAACTCCATACTTGAGTTGCTGGTGCAGCTAGTTACCTTAAAGAAGGGGGAGCCCCGCCTGAAATCCAGTGTGAACATCCACATGAGGAAAACTGGAACCCATGAGCACACTTTTTATGCTACTCAGGTACTTAAGAACATTGAACACAAAGGGTTAATTAGAAACCACTAGGGTGAGGGAAGCACCTCTTATCTGTGGAATCTGCAAGTTTTTCTGCTCTTCCAGTCTGTCAATTCATCATAGCAAAGCCAGAAGATTCAGCTAGTTGTTTTAAACAGCTTAAAGATGTACCACAATGCCACAGTAAGAAAAGCTTCAGGAAATATAGGACTAAATGCTTTACTCAAGAGATCATCATCATCATGTTCCTATTACGCCTCTGGTGTTTAGGTCAGTGACGAAGCTCCTTCACTCCTGTCTGTTTCTAGCAAGTCTTTCAATGGTTCCCCAGCTGTGCCCCAGGTATAAATGCATTAGAAGACCGAGGTTCTCAGATACTGTGGAATTGTAGGGATTGGGGGGCATAGAAGTACTTAAAATAGATTTAGGTTCTGATTATGCAAGTAACTTAAACATGTACACTTTACGTTAGGCATGCGTTTAAGTGCCTTACTGAATATGGGCCTTAGTTCAGTGGTTTTCAAACTTTTTCTCTGGTGACCCAGTTGAAGAAAAGTATTGATGCCCGCGACCCAACGGAGCTGGGGATGAGGGGTTTGGGGTGTGGGAGGGGCTCAGGGCTGGGGTAGAGGGTTGGGGTGCAGGGGTGAGGGCTGTGGGGTGGGACAGGGATGAGGGGGTTGGGGTGCAAGGGTGAGGGCTGTGGGGTGGGACAGGGGATGAGGAGGTTGGGGTGCAGGGGGGCTCCAGGTTTGGGGGGCTCAGGGCTGGGGTGCAGGAGGGTGTCAGGGCTCTGGGCTGGGGCCAGGGATGAAGGGTTTGGGGAATAAGAGGGGGCTCCGGGTTTGAGAGGGGGCTCAGGGCTTGGGCAGGGTATTGGGGTGTGGGAGGGGGTCAGGGCTCTGGGTGCAGACTCTGGGTTGGGGCTGGGGATGAGAAGTTTGGGGTGCAGGAGAGGGCTCCAGGTTTGGGGGGGGGCTCAGGGCTGGGGTAGGGGATTGGGGCATGGGCTTACCTTGGGCGGCTCTCAGCCAGCGGCAGTGGGGGTGCTAAGGCAGGCTTCCTGCCTGTCCTGGCACCGTGGATCGTGCTGCATCCTGGAAGCAGTCAGCAGCAGGTATGGCTCCTAAGTGGAGGCACGCAAGCAGCTCCACACAGCTCTCATCACAGGAACCCGCCCCCTCCCCCAGCTCCCATTGACTGGGAGTGCGGAGCTGGTGCTCAGGGTGGGGGCAGCGCACGGAGTCCTGTGACCCCCCCCGCCTAGGAGCCGGACCTGCTGCTGGCTGCTTCCGGGGCACAGCGCGGTTTCAGAACAGGTAAGGACTAGCCTGCCTTAGCTGGCCAGCACCATCGATGGGACTTTTAACGGCCCGGTCAGTGGTGCTGACCAGAGCCTCCGCGACCCAGCGCCTTACACTCCATGACCCAGTACTGGGTCACGACCTGCAGTTTGAAACCACTGCCTTAGTTCATAGTGGCTGAAAATGTCCTTTTGATCAGTGATTCTGTTACCATCTGGGCACGGTCTCCACTCTACTCCATACTGGGTTTGTAAGACAAACATTTAGCAAGGCACTCTCAATTAAAATGGAAAAAGTTTGGGCATTCTTGTGCATACACAGTATTTTACAGTCATATAAGAAACAATGGCGGAAGCCTCTGGCACCATGTGTATTATTTTATTAAAATATATTAGGAGCTCTTTCTGGGCAAAGTGTTACATTTTAGATTTAACTGGAGTGTAATCAAAACCCGGCACTATAACTATTGCAACACGATGAACAGAAAATACTAGCTCGGCCAAGGTAGGTGTTCTGGCAACAGGCAACTGTAGCATGTTATTTTAGCATTTCTAAACCTGAATGCTGCTGCAGACAATGTGGGGGTGTTTTTTCTTCTACGTAAAACAATTTTAGGGATGAAAAAATAGTTGAAAATCACCTGACAATTTCAAAGAGATTTAAGGTGCTGCTGTTATGTTTTTTTTTAACTAGTGCTGATGTCACTGTTCCCATCTATAGCTGCTGAAAATCTCTGCTTTTCATGGAACTATGACTCATCAGACTACTTTGTTAAAGGCTGCTTTTTCCCCCGGATTATTTTCCAGAGTTGATCAATAGCCAAATGTGTAACATAAGATAGGCAATAGGTAAAAAAAGTGACATTTAAATAAAGACTGTAGTGAGCTGTACGCTTAATGCATGCTTAACCAAATGACATTTACTTTTAAATGAAGTACAGGTCCGGACTGAAAACAATATTAATTAAAAGGATTATTTTAAACATTTTAAAACACTAAAATATGCTCTTCAGATCATTTCAATTTGCAATATTATTTGTTTCCCCTGAATACTGTAGGAACATACAACGGGCTCTTTTGTAAAATACACACCACAAAACAAAAGCCCTCCAGATTCACAGAGCACAGCAAAGATCCTCTCTTCATTCCAACTCTTCACAAAAGGCTCCTTTGATTTAAAAGACTTCTCAGGAAGTTTAAGTGCCCTTGTTAACTCAGCACTCTGCAGCAAAGTGCCTTGCTCACTAGTGTGACGTTCTGGAGTCAGGCAGGGGTGTTCCTTCAAGTCTATGATAAACACCAGAGGGCGCTGCAGTGCTGCATTCTGAACTTGTGGGGCGTGTTTGAGTGGGGCAGGGTAAAGGTACAAAATTGTGTATGAAGAACAGAATAGTGAAAAACCTCAGGAACTTCACATAAAACCATATTTAGATTCCTTGGGGAGATGAAGGGGTGCTTTGCTATTGCCAAGGGTACTAGAACTAGCTGAAATTTTTCAAATGACAAATTCTGTCATAATAATAAAAAAAATGTTCTGTTCAGTTGCTGTCACAGCCTCATCTCCTCCTCATTTTATATTTTTTGTGCCTTTGTCAACAATCTCCTCTTCTCCCTCACTCCTATGCTGTAGGTCGCAGCACGGAGAGGAAAGGCGGCCTTCCCGGGGTCAGGCACAGGTGTATCGGTAGAGAGAGACTGTCTGGCACAGGTGTATCGCTAGGGGACAGGTAGTGGTCTACACTAAGAATAGGGATCACACAGGTGACTTCTCCATTAGATCAAAGGAGAACCAGGGACTGATTGGGACTCTTAAGTGACTGTCTGGTCCCTGGTCTGCTCCCAGAGCAGCAGGGTTGTGCTGGTTCTTATCTGGGGCTTGTGACGAACCCACAAGACATCAATTTGAAATGTATCGCCCCCTCCTGAGATCCAGAGGATACAAACATAGATGTGAAAAATTAAGGCTAGAGAGATATTCAGGGCTCTAAAACTATCACAGATCCTACTTGCTTCACTTCCTGGTTACCATGCTGCATGAGAATCCCTTGGTATATATATTTTCAGTTACCTGAGAAAGTAGCCTCACCCTCGACATCTGATATGTAATATATGTAAATTTTGCTGTTGACATCTTTTCATCAAACCAAGAGCTAGGAATGTACAAATGACAGCGTGAGCTACACATTCTGTGGTCAGTTTATCTGCTATATCTCTTAATCTTTAGTTATACTTAAGGCTAAGATTTAGTCATGGGTATTTTTAATAAAAGTCATGGACAGGTCATGGGAAATAAACAAAAATTCACGGCTGTGACCTGTCCATGACTTTTACTATACCCCTGACTAAATCTTGGGGCAGGGGGAGTGTGTCACTGCTTGGGCAGCCCTGGGGTCAGCCACACTGGCCACCGCAGAAGTCATGGAGGTCACGGAAAGTCATCAAATCTGTGACTTCCGCGACCTCGGTGACAAACATGGAGCCCTAGTTATACTCCTTTGAAGATTTCCAGTTTCTATTCTGCTACCACTACAGGAAACATTTCCTATAAAGGACATGAGATTTCCTCAGTAAATGTCCATCAGTGAAGTCAAGCTGAGTGATTTTTTGAGTTCCTCGATGCTGATGGGCTCCCACGGATAAAACACCACAACTTTTCTCTTCTCAGTCATGAGAAAGCCGTTGTCATTAAACCTCCCAGGTATATTCCCTACATCCAGCCAAACAAAAGGAGTGATTGCTGTGGTCTGCAGAACAAAAGCATACAGGTCACCTTGCTGAGAAATAGCGGCCTGAAAGAGGAAGAAAAATAAAATTAGGATTATTACAGAAGTTTGTTTAGTAAAAACAACTGCACCAATCAGTGTAAAAGTTGTAGGCCAGTATAACAGAATGTATTTTGAAAATACATTTGTTAGAATTATTTTTCTCCTCTACACCTCCTTTATGGAATGTTCTATATAATTTAATAGGGATAAAGCCGATAAGATTCTATACAAAGCATCCCAAAAACCTACAGAACTTAACAGAGATTTATGGCCTTGCTACAGAATACTATAGGCTGATTTAAAAATTCTATTGAATGTTATCACTATTTACCTTCCATAAGGACAGTTCCTCTAAAAATAATGGGATAAATTCTATACTGACTTACACCCAGTGCAATCCTATCATAGTCACAAGGTGCTAGACAGATTTGTCCCAGTGGCAACACATTTTTCTCATAACCCATACTTTCAAATATTAAGGTTGTTGTCCCTTCTTGCTATATCAGTAATAAAAATCTGTGGAAGTAAAAGATGAGTAAATCAGGGCAATGTAGCAGGTCACCTACTGCTAGTGTAAGAAAGGAGGGTCTTTAAACTATATTTAGAACTGATACATAGGGCACGCTGAGAGATCTCAGAAATATGTTTAACGTTTTACTGTAAAGTTTTCAGTAATAGCACTCTGCACAGTCTAAAACCACAACTAGAATACGTTTTCACTCAACATTTTTCTTTTACAGACATTTCTCTTCTGAACATTAATAGTATATTAAAAATCAGCAAGTTACATATTAAGTATGTACTAAATAAATTTTATTACTAAAAAACTGCTTTTTATTTTTTTTTAGTTTGTAAGAGAAACCACATGTTCTGGATTTTTCTGTTTTCACAGTTAGATTTGCAGTATATTTTAAATAAGCTTTTGCAGTGAAACCTGTGCCAGAACAAAGATACAAAAAGTAGCATTTGTGTTAACAAAGATATTTAAAAACGAGATTATGATCAGAAAAAAGCCACCCTTTTACTCAACAGATCTTCTGTGTACATATACCCTAAATCATATTTGCTCACTTTACTGACAAAATTAATGTTGTTATGTTTTTCTCCTGCTAGCACTGCAGAGCCAACACAGCTATGGGAGAATGAGCAGAATTTGCATAATCAAGAGAATCATAAACTAAATTCTAACTGCAGAGCTTTTATTATTGGCGATGCCAGCTAGAAAGAATCTATCTTTTCAGATTCCAGATTGAGTCTGTAGTGCTGTGTGAAAAAAGAAAATAGGCCAATTCTTTTCCTATGTACGTTGGTGTAATGGAGTTACGCTGGCGTAAGAGTGATGTGACAGGAGAAACAGACCCACTTTTTTATTTGTTAACGGAACAAATCTGATCTGGAATCACAGAGACAACACAGTGTAAACCCATCCTGCCATTTTTAGAGTGTCTTTTCAGTGGCTACTGAGGAAGAGTTTTCAAGTAAGGAGGCATGGAGAGCAGCAGCAACAGTAGTCAGGGTAACAGGATAGGAAGGGAGTCTGAGAATCTAAGGCAGCAGGCACTTCTGAGGGCAATAGCCAATAAAGTAAATAATTGTATATATCACTTATGTTGCTTTTCATGCTGACACAAGGACTGAAATGTTGTACAGATATTGGGAAGTAACTGTAAACCCATTATGCAAATCAGAACTCCTCAGCTGGAGTGCAGAATTTTGCATAATGCGGAAATAACCATACAAAGTTGCAGGTCAGTCATGCCACAGCATCCCTGGGACAGCAGAGGCAATTCCATCGTAATACTATTAGCAATAACTGGTATGTTGTGTGGCATTTACCGTATTACCAGCAGTTAACACTGGAAACTGATAATAATCACAAGTTGGAATGCCTGTCACAGTGCCATTTGTTAACTAGGGACAAACAAAAGAGATGAAGAAGGAGACGCTGCATCAAAGAAGTGGGTTGTACTCCAATCGACTGAAATGCAGCCTTCATATAAAAGGGGGGGGGGGAAGAACAGTGATGTTTAGGCGTTTTTTCAGAAACGCTCAGTGAAGAAGAAAAAGAAAAACTCACTTTGAACTCCTTTGCAGAGCTTCAGAAAAGCTACTGCCAAATGACTGAACAGCAAAAGACATCACATTATAGACACCACCCCCAGCTCCCCACAGCAGACAAGTTTGGCAGGACTAAAGAAAGTAACTCAGGATGGCTGGTGCTTACACTGAGCTGTGCTTTCTCCAATCCCACCGCGTCCTTCAGCGAAGATAGGAAGTGATAGTTGCCAGGACTATGGAGCTCGCCTTTTCCCATAAGGTAAAAGGTGACGACACAGCTTTGCCTGGTACAATTCCCACATCTTTTCAACAGGTCATTGATAGGCTCCTTGTAAATTGGAGCAGCACTCCCTGCCGTAAGGGTCACACCCTCTTTAGCAAGGGTACACACTGGCTCCATTGAACTCCACCGGTGCAAAGTGACCTGTGAGCGACATTAAGGGGTCAAACTGTTAACAGAGAAAACAATACCTCTACAAAAATATTCCCACATCCCAGATTTTCCAGTTACTCATCGAATGAGACATTTTCCTGGAAGTACATGGCACATAGCCTCAAGGTGATTTCTACACCAGACAAGAAGAGACAACACAAAGATTAAAATAATAATGAATATAAATATTACCCATTTTATTATTTAAACTAGGCAACAATTCTGTCTCAAATAGCCTGAACATGTTGATCTTTCTGACATGCTGCAAAGCTCTTCTCTAGCTGATGCCAGGGGGGGCTGGACTGAGGTGTTTAGGGACTGGAATTGTTGGGTAAGGGTTTATTGCCTCCCCGCCCTTTTCTGGTTCAGGAAATTGCTGGTTGTGCTTATTTAAAGTTGACCTGTATTACCTGAGACATGCCGAGGTGCCTAGAGCTTTCGTACAGAGAATTTTAATATATTTGATCAACAAAAATGACAAGCAATGATTTTAAGGGGAATCCCTGGAATTGCGTTAACACAATGAAATACAAATGAGATCCTCTGGGAAAGTGTATCAATAGGAATGGCCTCCCATACAAAAACTGTGATCCATTTGGCTTACTTTTAGCATGAGGTAACTGCAAAAGAGCAGATGTGAAAGAATCCTAACACCATACAATGCATGAAGGGGCACTCGACCATAAGAGGTGCCAGCAGCCGGAAATAGATCCTAAAGCTCCTCCTAATCACTCTTTCTCACAAGTTTAAAATTTTCTTGAACTGCTAATCAAAAATCTACATTAGAAATGAATACTAGACACATGCCTCTCTAACTTCACCAGAGCTTTGGAATTACAGACACAGGCTTAAACTCAGCCCAGAGATAAGCAACTCCACAAAGTGCAGCTTTGAAAAGCGGCTTTGCAAAAATGGCACTGTGTTTTTCATGTTGATTATTTTTTTTGCAGCTTACAAGAGTTTTTTGTTGTCATTTGTTTATTTTTATACTGCCACTCTTGTAAACTGAAAGAGTCTGCAAGGTCTTGTGGACAGGGTAGTCGACTGAGAATCGGGAGACTCAAATTCTATTCCCAGCTCTGCCACTGACCTGCTGTTTGACCTGGGACAAGTCACTTCTCCATTCTGTGCCTGCTTACTTTCTCACCCTTTGTCTGTCTTGTCTATTTATGCTGTAGATGTTTCAACTCAGGAACTGTCTTTTGCAATGTATTTTTGTACAGTACTCAATACAATGGGGCCCTGATCTCATTTGGGGCCTGTAGGTGCTACTGTCATACAAATAATAAATAATAATAAACAAACCAACCATGGAATCTGAAAGTCAAACAGAGTTCTTTCTGGCCCATGCATAATATTGCCCTTATATACATGTGCATAATCCTACAACTTTCTGTGGGATCATTCAGATGTAGCTTGGGGCATAATTTTAAGATAATAGGGTTGCACGGGAGGCCTGCAATTGAAACTTAGTTACCAGTTCTGTTGATGCTTCACAAGCCACAAAATAATCCAGTGTATTTTCTCAGAGCTGTAGTGGTTCAGGAAGGCTAACAGTAATAATAAATAATCATACAAAATAAAATAAACAACAACAATGCACCCAGGGCCTGAATCTGTTGAGTTACAAGATGAAAATTTTAAATTTGTTTTGTATTTAAACTTAATCGCCTTTTACATCTGGACCATGTTTTTAGTGGAGCTATTATTATTTCTTTACCATTTAAAATTTAAGACTCAAGGTTCCTTCCAGCCCTATGTTTCTATAATTCTATGATCCCATGTACACTGCGGTAGCACCTACAGGTTAGAGCCCAACTGCGCTAAGCACTGTACAGAGATATAGTTAGTGGTAATCTCTGCCCCCAAAGAACTCTCAGTCTAAAAAACAAGACCAAAGAGGATTAATTGCACCCATTTACACCAGGACTCAGTTTGGCCCACAATGACATTCCGAATAGGCTCTCATAGAAGCTGAAGGACTGGTGCAGGGGAGGGCTGGACATGGACTTACTGGATCGTTGTTCCATAACCAAGCGTTTATTTATATTTTTCTATTCTTTTCCCTAGCAGGAGGTGATCTTTTGACAGACAAAAGGCGGCACTTACTTGGAGCGTCAGCTCACAGTCTGAATGAAGATCCGACACTCCGTAGATGTACAGCACACCGTCATCTTCATATCCCACAGGCAACAGTGGGGCAAAGAAATGCTGGGCAAAGTAATGGAGCATTTTCCACTTTCCCCCATACTCTGAGTATTAAAGAAAGCATGATTCAGACACAGTCTGAGATTGGCTGTGAACATGCAGGACATGATCCCGCCCCAGTGCATAGGTTACAATACTGCACTTCCTCTCCCCGTTTCTGGTGGGCCTGGCCCACACCAGGGTCTGGGGGAGAGGAAGGTGGGAGCTATGGTCCTGGCTTCTCCACACCTTTTCTTGCTCCCTTTGGGGGAGGATCTGCAACCTTAGGGGCGCAGAGAGGAAGCAGCTCCTGCACTCCCTCAAGCACAGTAATTGCAACTGTCCCTGGATCTTGTGTAGGGCAAACACAGAAAGACGGGAGGCACTTGATGCCCACTCTCTCCCCTTTCTATATACAAACAAGGACCCAGGACAATCTGACCTATCGTGTGGTGACCAAGAATTCAATTGTTTTACATAAGTTGACAGTAGTAATAATTGGAAGTGACGTGCTGCTCAAACCCTCCCCATGAAATTTACCAGAATAGCAAAGTAACCCAGAAAAAAATCATTCAATAATAAACTGGGCCATGTGTAATATAAAAGGTTTTGAGAAAAATCTTGTGGTGTTCTGGGTTTACAAATCTCTCTGATTCATTTTGAAGTTCACAATACCAGTCTGAGTTCTACAAACATTCCTCTCAGGGTAATTCAATTAAAAAAAAAAAAAAAGGGCATAAATGCTATATATAGGGATAGAAGAATCACCACTACAAAGGACTGGCACAAGTGTGTACCGTGTATATAGCATGTACAGCTAGAAAAAAATCTGCTGTCAGTTATGCTGTTGCAAATCCAGAGTAACCCATTGGCTTTAGTAGGGTTACTACAGATTTACACCACTGTTAATGAGAGATTAATCTGGCCTATGCTACAGTATCTCCTCACTTAACGTTGTAGTTATGTTCCTGAAAAATGCAACTTTAAGTGAAAGGATGTTAAACGAATCCAATTTTCCCATAAGATTTAATGTAAATGCGGGGGTTTAGGTTCCAAGGAATTTTTTGGGGGACAGACAAAAGGTATTATATACTGTACAGTACTGTACTGTACTGTGGTGGGGAGGTGCCCCTGGCTTACCCCTGGGGCTCAGGGCTGGGGGTGCAGGGTCTGGGAGGGAGTTAGGGTGTGGGAGGACGCTCAGGGCTGGGGGTGCAGGGTCCGGGAGAGAGTTAGGGTGTGGGAGGGCACTCAGGGTGGGGGTGCGGGGTCTGGGAAGGAGTTAGGGTGTGGGAGGGCACTCAGGGTGGGGTGCGGGGTCTGGGAGAGAGTTAGGTGCGGGAGGGCGCTCAGGATGGGGGTGCGGGGTCTGGGAAGGAGTTAGGGTGCGGGAGGGCGCTCAAGGTGGGAGTGCGGGAGGAGGGTCAGGGCTGGGGCAGCCAGGAGGTGCAGAGCACTTACCTGGGGCAGCTTCTGTTTGGTGCAGAGGGTGTGCAGGTGGCTCTGCGCAGCGCAGCACCGCTCCCATGGCCACGATTCTGGGAGCTGCACTCCCTCCTGTGCTCGCAAGGCCGCATTCCGAAAGGGGCTTTAGAGCTGCAGGCCAGGGCCCCGGGGCCCCCTTAGGCCAGAGCCCTGCAGCCCCTAAAGCTCCTGCCTTCCGGGTCGCCCTGCCTGCCGGGGCCGGGGGGGCAGCTTCCCCACTCACTCCCTCCCTCCCTTCCTCCTTCCCTCCCAGAAAGTCCTAAGTGCTGCCAAACAGCTGTTTAGCAGCGGGGGAAGCGCTGGGAGTGAGGGAGGAAGGGAGGGGGAGGAGGCAGAGAAGAGGAACTTGTGCAATGCTCCCTTGTAAAGTCAGCCAAATGATGTCATAAGGGAGCATTGCACAACTTTAAACGAGTATGTTCCATAATGGAGCAGTGACGTAACTTTGAAACAACGTTAAGCGGGAGGACGTTAAGTGAGGAGTTACTGTATTTCATTTTTCATCAGAATCTCCCTCTTCCCATTCTCTTGATCAGTTTTTGCAACTCTTCCTAAACAAAACATAAACCTGTAAGCCTGAGTCAGACTTTCAAACTCATGAATCCAAGCAGACTCAAAATTAGGCCCATCTGTAGAAGTTACCTCTATTGCTTGGGTTTTTTTAAATAAAATACTTGCACATACTGTATGTGCATGTTCCAGTTTACTTTGCCAGTTTAGGGGGAGATGTACTTTATTACTTATTATGCTATCAAAAATTCAGCCATTCACAGATTAGAGAAACCATCAAATGTCGTCTCCTCACAAATACCACCAAAACCCTAGTATAAAGCTCAGCATGGTGGGTGAGCCAGCCACAGTGGAGCATTATGCAGCATTCTGAAAATGTGGATCTTTGTGTCGATGTCCATCTTCTCCTTACTCCTTTCCCATCTAGGTCAATATTTTAATGTTAACATTTTAACTCCGTCCTTGCTCAGCCATAGATCCTAGCCACTGGCATATCACTAAAAAGAGGCACTAACTTGTCTGCATAACCTTATGATGAAAGAAAATTATACTCTGTCCAATTTTGGTTTGTGGCTTTTCTTATATAATACGAACATAGCTCATGATGTTGGAAGATATTTGCAATAACCAAAAGCTTCTGCTTTGCTTTGGTGCTTGTTTAGAAGTACTTACAACATTGTACATTTCAGTATCCTGGGCACTATCCCTTAGACAGCCTTGGTTTCTAAGTTATGACACCAAAGCATGGCCAATGCAGGTTGACAACACAGGGAAGAACTTCAGTTTTACCATAATGCTGTTGACTTGCATGAAGGGGTGAAATCTGAAAAGGGTTTCTGGAGGGTTGCTGAGCCTAGTCGCTATTCAGTACCAGACATTTCATAGAGCTTCTTCAAACATACAAGTCACCGGTAACTTTATTATAAGTTGTTTAGCTCAGACAGTGTGTTGGTGCTGTATAGTAAACAAAGATAATCCCGGCTTCGAACAGTTTACAGTCTAAATGGCAGACACACAGGAGACAGGAGGCCTTGGCAAAATTCAGAGATGGGGATAACTCTGTGGTTGGTTTGATTTAAATCACACATGCTTCTTGTGGGCCTTCAGAAAAGCTGAATGAACAAGAGAAAGTGGAGGCTTGGACTGGGAGAAGCTTGCCCAAAACAAAGCAAAATGTGTGGCAGCTTCTTGTCTCTAAAATAGAAGTCTAGATTTTTAGACAGCAAAGAAAAATATATTGGCATTGTCTGGGAAAAGGGCATCCCTGCTTAGCCTCAGGCTTTTGAGTGGAAGGAGGCAGTGGAGTTCTCAAGCCTTCAAGACTGCCATGAGAATCTCAGGGATTTTGGCGGTCTCTGCAACAGGTGCCTTTAGCCATAGGTTTTGAGCAGAGTCTGCTACAGGCTCAGACTAATTTCTGTGGTAAGGTCCATGATTTCCATGGCACGCTAATTAACAGATTGGAAATTCTGTAGCAGCTTCATTTACATTCTGAAAATGTAGGCTTTTATTGGATTAAAATATGAAAATGAAGCATATCGAAGAGCATCCCCCGATATTAAATTCAATTTATTTTATGCTAAACCCACGTTTTCACTTTTCAACATGCCACAGATTTGTGAATTGATAACACAACTGCATCACAGAAATCATCTGGGGGAAAGCTGGTGGTTTTGACATCCAGGTGGTGTGTATACAGTGGTGTGGGAAGTGCAAGATGGCTCACAATTGGGGGATAAAACCCATTAACTGGATGTTTCTGCAAAACTGATCATAAATGAACTTGTTAACAATGCTGACATTTAAACTCATCGTTGGCTTTCACATCTCATTGACATTATTGGGAGAAGTTCACTCCTCCCCAGCTACTGTTTCAGGCTCTCTGCAGACCCAAGCAGACACCAATGCATCAGATACACCTTCTCCGTGTTTTAAAGTGTTGTTTTTCCCTGTAACCAAAGGCCAAATAAATGTTTTTTAAATAATACAAGACAAGAGCTTACAGGTTGGAGCACAGTTCCACAGCAAAGGATGGATTGTACAGTTAATTCTGCAGCCGAGAATCACAGACTATTTGGAGCCATTACTATGGCTGCTGCAACTGTGAAAGTGACTTTTGGTAGAATTGAGAGATGAGCCCTCTTCATGCTGGCTGCAAAGCAGACAGCTCAAGTGTTTAAAGCCTGACTGTCTAGATTAACTTAATCAGGAGACAGATTTCTTGATGTAAAAATGGCAGTGAGAAATCTTGGGAGGGAGCAGCCAGTGTGAAAATGTCTGGCTTTAACCATTCCTGTTGTAGGCACGGATGACATGGGGCAAAAGCTGTTTAAAACAAACCTGGGACTAGCTTTCTGTGTTTAAATGAACTGTTGATTAAATCTGAGTTCCCAATTCTCTTCCAAATTATGACATACACAACAGGGACTGTACTTTATATCACAACATCAACGATCAGAACAAGAGGTGACGACTCACTCTGGAATAAGACATCACTGCCCAGATCTTTCACTGTTCCCTGAAGCCTTTTCATCTAACAGCTAGAATAAGAGCAAATAGCTTTCTTCACTGTAATGGATTCTAAATTAATTGCTCAACGCCATTAAACACAACCTGAGAAACATGCTGCTAAGTTCTTTCCTCACATCCAATCTCACAAATTTAAATCTATTTTTTTTTAAAGCTTGTGGTTTCAGCTCACTAGACACTGTAAGTATTGGACCCACACTTCTAACCAATAAAACTCAGCAATCTGTGAAACTCCTGATAGCTGAATCAGATACCTCAAGGTGACATCTGTGCAGGAAGGTGGTGAAATTCCTGCTACAGCTTAGCATTCTTCACTGAAAACACACCACACAGATGCTAAAGCAATCAATGCAGCACAAGTGGCTCCAAAACCATAATCAAACATTCAAAATCCAGTCACTGAGGATTGGAAATACATTGACTTCTGAAGGGAGGCAGAGACTCACATGCAGACAAGACAGCTTCACTGTGTTTTCTTACTTTCCAGGTAAATATTTTTAATATATAAACAAATATTTAATTCTCAATTCTCTCCCCATTCCAAGAAGGAACACACTTCCACTTCATATGGGAAATGATGTAAACCCCTCCAGGGCACTCCATTTATGAAAGAACAAATCTAAATAAAGGAAGTATTCATCAACGATGCCACTGTGCAACCTAAAGAGATGCAGAAGTGTGCTTTTGAAGTGCAAAGAAAACTAATTTATTTGAGGTTTTGCATAATTCCAACATTTGCATTTCAAAACTCCCTCTACCGCATCGCCTAATTAAATGAAAATTAAATTTTTCCTCAATCCACTGACAAAATAAAAATGAAACAAAGGGACAGCTGTATCTCTGCTGAGCTTCCTTTCTGAAAATTGACATTAACAAGACTATGACTAATTAAACTATTTCTGACATTTGCTGTGATAACCTTAGTTGTTCTGTACTTAAAAAAAAAATCATGCTTATGTTCATCACATCAGATCATCTGTCAATGCATCTAACTGTACATTGAGACATATTACTAAGTTTTTTTCCTCCTCCTTTTTAAGGTACTTATTTTGTAAGAATGTGTCAATTATAGTGAAATCCAGATAAACAAACATTATGTTTCTACAGCATAAATTCATGGAGTCCAAGAACCTCAGTGTTAAGGCTGGACATGAGGCCAAGATAAAACAGCATGTTGTTTAAAGACAGTTTCACTAGTTTGTTTCCTCTGGTTTTTGAGGTGGAAGTCTTCCACACAAGAAAAGGGAAGAGAAAAACTTTAGGAAGTAAGAAGATGTCACTGTAAAACCACAAAATTTGGCAGGTAGACCCAGGGGCAGGTGTAGAAAAAACTATGTTTACCTCCTTTTCATAAACTGACCATATTCCAACGTTTAACTATGAACTTCTTCTCTGCAGCATATATCAGTAAACTAAACAATAATAACGACAATAATTAAGAAATAATTGAGGTTGAAATCATAGATAGGGCACTGGACTGGGATTCAGCAGACCTGAGTTCAATTCCCAGCTCTACCACTAGCCTGCTGGATGACCTTGGGCAAGTCACTTTACCTCTAGTTTTCCCATCTGTAAATTGGGGATAATGATACTGCCCTCTTTTGTAAAATGCTTTGAAATGTAAAGATAAGCATCATATAACAACTAGGTACACGTATTATATATTTCCACAGAACAGTCCTTCTACCTTAAAAAACCCCTAAACCTCAAAATATGCTCGCCTAGATTTGAGCAGTTATGGAATGCAGCCACTTCACTCAGACCATGCAGTTCTCCTTCACTTACTATTTATTACCCAAGCAAGTTACACATCTGCACTCAACCTAAACTAGGCCCAATGTTATGCTGTGAAATAAAACACATTGTTGCGTATATACAGATGACATTATATGCTATTTAATTAGAACTAAAGATTCTTCAACTAATTTGGTCCTAGTGTGTCTTGACATACTGCAAAGTTCCACACACATTGACTGAGAAATTAGGTGTTTTTATCACTAAGAAAAAACATCATAATCTTTCAGGTTATTGAATGAATATATGTTTTTTTTACACATTTATGTAATTATAGCTAACCCACATTTATTGGTATGTTTCCCTAAAAACACTGCTCTCCATATCCATTAAAAACAACTCTTTAGGCCTTTCTAACCTTTCCCACAATACTAAAAGGCACTTCTCTGCAGCAACACCAAAACAAACAAACAAAACTAGTTTGTACAAAAACAATGAGAAGTCAGGTGGCACCTTAAAGACTAACAGATTTATTTGGTCATAAGCTTTCGTGGGTAAAAAAAAAAACCCACTTCAGAGGAGTCACTGGACTCCTCGTTTTTTGTGTGGATACAGACTAACACGGCTACCCCTCTGATACTTAAACTAGTTTGGAGTTTCTAGGCTTTGCCACTCTGAAGATGGAAAAATTAAAAAAAAAAATAAAAAAAAATCTTTGAATTTAACCACACTCCTCAGAAAAACTATCCTGGATGAGATGTGTCATGTAAGCTTTAAGGAAGATCAATTTCTTTCTGGGGAAGCTAGGAGGATGTTGAAAAGTTAGGTTTATAATGAGGAGCTAGCTTCAGCCTTAACTACAGTGTAGCTACCACTCCATAGCAATTATGCTTGTTTGTTTTAAATATTGTCTTCTACTCAAAAGACATTAATATTGCTTAACTTAAAATACATAAAAGTTAAACTAGGGCCTGCATCACTGAAAGAATTATAGGGTATCTTTGTCTTGTGTTATAAGGTTCCTGGATCTACATTTACCACTGGTGGTTACTGTACTCTGAAACAAACACTAAGGAGTGGATACACTAAAAGGTTTGTTTCCTCTTCATTTTGTTTGTTTTTGAGGAGGATGACATACCAAGACTAACAGCTTTGCATCCCTGCTCAGTTTTAGTATCAGGCTTATCCTATAAACCAGTTTGCTGAGATGTATAGTAGATGGTTAGAAATATGTTTGGTTCTTGTAAAGTTATCCAGGCAATAATAGTGAGCCTTATTTCTTGAACTGGTATTTCTGATGAAAAAAGTTATAGATAATAAAAATAAATTTAAAAAGCACAATTAGCTGTTTCACTGATGGCAACTGGAAGACTTACCTAAAGAAGCCCAAGAAGGGGCCTGCCAGATATCATTAAGTTGCCAGTAGAGTGATCCCATTGTATGTCCCTCTCCATTGATTATCTCACTTCGACTACGCCGATAGAACTCCGTTTCTGCCTTTATACACTGGGCTTGCATAACCTTGTTCAGGAAATATATTAAAAAGAATATTATTTTTAATTTGGTTAACTACTGTCAAAACATTGTGTGTGTGTTTGCATGTGTCAGCGAGAGAAAGACAGACAGACAGACAAGGCTTTACATGCTCTCTCTGAGCTAGATTGTACCTGAAAGGCACAACTCTGACCCAAAGACAGTACAGGAGTAGTGCTGTTCCAAGGGGATCTCAGCAAGGTGTTGTGTGTCGAGGAGGTACAATCTTTCCCTAGCCTGCTGCAATCAGTGAGTCCAACCTGCTCTGTGGGTCAGTGTAGAGGGTCAAGGCCCAACTTCTTCCTGCCTCTCCCATTTTCTCTGGAGTGATTTGTGCTGCATGAAAGAAGTATCCCCTGAGATGATCACTAGTCCTGGTGTGGGAGGAGGGGAAATTGGAGAGGCTTTTCGTGCCCCGTTTTCTCCCCTGCAAAGGGTCAGGGACACACAAAACTTACCCATATTAAATTATATTGTAAATTCTTCAGGGCAAGGACTATCATTATTACATGTCTCTTCAGCGCCTAACATACTGACCCAGACTAGGCCCTCTAGCTGCTAATAACAACGATGGCTGTATTAGATAGAAGTATCTGCCACCAGATTGTGACACATGGTTACCTGAGTGAGGTAAATTGTATCTTTGAACAGTTTTAGGGAATCTGTATTCTGGGGCAGCTTGAAGTGAAGTCCAGCCTGATGAAGCATTTGGTCGTTACCAGCTGCATGGTGCTGTCGATGGAGGGAGAAATTGCTTGTATAAGACCAGTCCTCTGTAGAGGAGACCTTTTGAAAACACAGAAAAGGTTGAAAACAGATCATAAAGAAATGGCAAAACATTCTTGCTCTTGATCTTTGGGACCAGGTACTTAGCAATTGCTGAATGGCAAGAAGGTAAATAATATCCATTTCAGCCCCTTGCTATCACCTAGAGTATTTAAAATAATACTTTACATTTCTATAGTGCCTTTCATCTAAGGACCTTTAAGTCCTGAAGCCCATAACACCCGCTGGAGTAGGTGTTATATTCTTTTACAGATGGACAGACCAAGGAACACAGGGCCAAATTCAGAGGGCTCAGCACACAAGCGAGAGTAGCTCTGTTGGTTTTGTGGAACTTCACTTATTTGTCCTACAGTTGAATTTGGCCCACAAAGCTTTCACGGAGTCAGTGGCCGAGGAGAGGGGAAAGGAAGGGAGGAGGGAAACAGCTGCAGGGAGAGGGCTCCAGGGGAGCCGGGAGGGGGAGGGGGTCATTGTTAGTGGACGAGCCTGGGAGCTTAAATTCATAACTTTGTTAAAAATCATGGACTGACTAGGGACACCAGATTTAGGACTTATTACAACAATCTATAACCCACTAACAACCCTCTGCCCTGCAACTGCCTCTCCCCATTCCTTTCCCTCCTATGGCTGGAGGGATATTAACAGGCCACTTCACCGTGAATGGTCCCTTGAAATATGTGTTAACTACTTATGCTAAACAACCTGTTCCACCTTGTATTTAGCTGTGACATTCCCAGTCCTGAAGAAGATCTCTGTGTAAGCTTGAAAGCTTGTCTCTCTCACCAACAGAAGCTGGTCCAATAAAATATATTACCTCACCCACCTTGTCTCTCTAATATCCTGGGACTGACACAGATACAACAACAGTGCACACATTATAAAAGACAGGCTCACTAATCGGCCACTAGCCAGCTTGCTTTTACTACAGCAAGCAACAATGCTCAATATATTTTTGGTTCTGATCCAATGGAGGTCGAAGCTGTGTGTAACAGTTGGTTAATCAAGAGTTAAGTTTGTGATGTGAGGAGACCGGATTCAACAATCTGTGTCTTAATACGTCAATCAATACAAGAGCCTGTGTTTATAGAGTTCAAGAATGTGTCACCAATTGTTTAAAACTGGAAAAGAAAATTTAAAAACATTGATAGATTATAATACATTATAGCAATGTGGTGGACTCTGACACAGCAAGAATGGCCTATGGTAATAAATTAGGACTGTAGGTATTTATCTTGCCTAAAGTGAGAGGAACCAAGTTTAATGTATTAAAAAGGGAAAGATGTACATCCCACTCTGTCTCTACCCCTCATATTACACCCAGGGCCGGTGCAAGGAAGTTTCGCGCCCTAGGCGAAACTTCCACCTTGTGCCACCCCCCCAGCCCTGAGGCAGCTCCCCGCCCCCCCCCCCACCCCCAGGCGCCCCCCCCCCCGGCCGCCCCCCCCCCCCCCGGAGGCCCCCCCCCCCCCGTGGCAGCTCCCCACCCCCCGGCCCGGGGATTCGTGCGGCAGCTCTGACCCAGGGGAACCCCTGGGCTGCCGGCAGCGCGCTGACCCAGAGGAACCCCTGGGCTGCCGGCGGCGGCTCAGACTTCCTCTCCCTCCCAGCGCAGCGGACGCTGTTAAAAAAAAAATAAAAAAAATTGGGGACGCCACTTTTTGGCGCCCCCAAATCTTGGCGCCTAGGCAACCGCCTAGTTGGCCTAAATGGTAGCACCGGCCCTGATTACACCTTACATTTCCTCTTAATAAGGAATGTGTGTCATTTCAAATATAGTCAGGGACCCAGAGTTTCTTGGCCAGTGATTCATTGTCAAGACCAAAAGGGAACAGGGAGGGGGAAAGCTATGAAAATGGAAGCTTTGCCTTACCTTTTCCAATGTACTGAAGGAGGGCCAGGACTGAAATCCATACTCTGAGGCAAACCGAGTTTTAGGATACACTGTCCAGTTCCAGCAGTCACTGAGATAGTCATAAAAGTGAGTGTCACCATAATGGGTGTCATAAGGATTTTGGGAGAGCCAGCTTTCTTTAACAGACTCCTTGCCATTTGTGGGACTGGATGTAATATAAGGACGACTCTTATCCTCCTGGATAAACAAAACAAAACACACCACAATAAAGTGATTGGTTCTAACATTTCAATATCCAGACCTTACTTTGGGAAGTGAAACCAAAATGCCTTTGCCAAATTGCTGAGTCACTGCCTAGGAAATATTTTGCTTTTGTGCCCTGACATTCATCTCCTCCCTCACGTTTAATCGTTTTTAATTCCTGGAATCAGAGGCCTAACAGGATGTACTACTGCTTTCTATTTCTATAATTCCTCCTCCCCTTCATGGCCATGTAAGCGCTACACGAATCAGGCCCTCAGATACCACAGGTACCAGCCAGATGCTCCCACTGAAGAAGTGGGCAGGGAGAAAACTATGCCAGGGCTCCAGTGCCCCCTCGTACCGAAATCAGCAAAACTGGCTGGACACATTTATGAGGGAGGAATATACTGCACCCCGTTCGAGTGGTGTCACAAATTACCTCCTCTTCTCATAGTGCAATAGGGATACCACTAGAGGAACTGTTTTCTTTTGAGGCACAATGCCTCCCAGTTGTCCCCCTGGGGCACTGAGGCTATGCACTGCCCCTTACTGTGAGCAGTGTGAAAAACTGCACAATCTGGCCCTTAATTCATAACTAGTACTTTATTAAGCCCAGGACAGAAAGTGGAGACTTTCCTCAGAGTACCCAACTCTAGGTGTGAATTAATAAGTTACAAAGCAGAAGGAATCCACCTACTTCTTGCCCATGGAAGCTTGTTAGTCTCATCTGCTAGTACAATGTAGGCTTCATTCTGAGTGGAGAGGAATTTGAAACTAAAGTGCAGTTTTGAAAATCTTGGGGAAAGGGATTCTCTTGCCTCAGATCAAGGGATTTGTTATCTTTAAATGCTTCTACATTATTAGTAACAGCTATTTAAAGCACTTCTAGTGGAAAATAAACAAAATAATCATTAACATTTGTGTGGTGAGACAGTTCCTTTAAGTAAAATGATTAGCATTGCCACTGCAAAAAAATGCTGCAAAAGTAAGATTTTTCCCTTTCCCCCCCCCTTGTTACAGACAACCAACAAGCTTTAGTCTTAATACATTCAAGGTATGCTGTCATTACAGTCTGTTTGTGGCACTGTGCTTTGGCTTTGTTTGGCCTGGCTGTGCATTTTAGGCCAGATGCAACTTTATGAAGGGCAAGATTTAGAGTTGTTTCAAATTACATATATTTAACCACTACTGCACGCTACATCTTATCCATGCCAAATACTGAAGGGTTTCTTTGCAATTATAAAACATTTAGGGACAAATTTTCAGTAAGGGAAGCCCCTGGTTCTACATTCACAGTTACCATTATTAGCTCCAATACAGCAAAGCAGTTAGCCATAGGCTTCAGTTTAAATACAAGTACAGTAATTCCATTCACTGTTTTTAACTGTGTGAACAGTTAATCACTAGAACTGCTTATCTAAGGATATGCTACATTCTCCATTACTGAAGCCTTGTTATGAAGGCTGGATGTTTTTCCAAGTGATAGATTCTAGCTTAGCCAGATGTAATGGGCTTGATGGAGAAGTTGCTTGGTGAAATTCTATGGCTTGTGTTATGCAGGAGTTCACACAGAAGGTCGTAATGGTTTCTTCTGGCCTTAAAAATCTATCTATCTATATGGTTAAAGTGAAGCAGATGCTTCAGTGCTTTACTGGATTGGAGACACTGTGTATTCAAATCAGGTGACATAAAATGCCTACGAGAAGCATTTCACTAAGCCATCTGCATGCACAGTAACCCAATTTGTGTACATGATCATAGAAATGATAGAAACCTAGAAAAAAAACAGTTACTTACCTTCTCGTAACTGTTGTTCTTCAAGATGTGTTGTTCCTGTCCATTCCAACCAGGTGTGGGCACCGGAAGTTTTTTCCCATAGCAGCATCCGTCATGTCAGCCTGGGTGCCCCCTGGAGTCGCGCCTTCCTAGCACTCAATATAGAGCACTGCCAACCCACCACCCCCTCAGTTCCTTCTTGCCGGCTACTCCGACAGAGGGGTAGGAGGGTGGGTATTGGAATGGACATGAACACCACATTTTGAGAACAGTTACGAGAAGGTAAGGAACTATTTTTTCTTCTTCGAGTGCTTGTTCATGTCAATTCCAACCAGGTGACTCTCAAGCCTAAATTCTGGAGGCGGGGTGGGAACTGTCCACTGACTGGAGCACAGCTCTACGGAAGGCCGCATCATCTCTGGCCTACTGGGTAATCGCATAATGCGCAGTGAAAGTGTGTATGGAGGACCACGCCACTGCTCTGCATATTTCCTGAGTGGGAAACTGCGCCAGGAATGCAGCTGAAGAAGCCTGCGCCCTGGTGGAGTGCGCTGTGAATGGAGGGGCAGGTACCCCTGTCAGGTTGTAGCACTCACGGATGCAGGATGTGATCCACGGCGAAAGGAGACTGGAAGTCCTTTCATCCTGTCTGCCATGGCCACAAACAGTTGAATGGACTTTCGGAACAGTTTCATTCTCTTGATGTAGAAGGTTAGCGCTCTGCGGACATCCGATGAGTGAAGCCTCTGCTCCCTACTGCTTGAGTGCGGCTCAGGATAGCACACTGGGAGGAAGATGTCCTGGTTCATGTGAAATTGGGAGACAACCTTCGGGAGGAAAGCTGGATGTGGCCTGAGCTGAACCTTGTCCTTATAAAACACAGTGTAAGGAGGCTCCGATGTTAGGGCCTTGAGCTCAGACACCTCCTGGCTGAGGTTATTGCTACCAGAAACACCACCTTGTATGGGCAGGGAGCATATCGCCAGTGGTTCAAAGGGCAGCCCCGTCAGTCTGGAAAGGACCAGATTGAAGTCCCAAGCCAGGACAGCCTGTCAGACTTGCGAGTATAGCCTGTTGAGACCTTTGAGGAAATGGCTGACCATAGGGTTGGCAAAGACTGACCAGCTCTCAGCACCTTGATGGAAGGCCGATATAGCGGACAAGTAAACCCTTATTGACGACATGGACAGCCCCTGCTGCTTGAGGTGGAGAAGGTAGTCCAATATAAGCAGTAAAGAGGCGAGCATGGGTGATGAACTGTGTTGCGCTGACCAGATTGAGAATCTCTTCCACTTGGCAAGGTACGTAGCCCTGGTGGAGGGTTTTCTACTGCCAAGGAGGACTTGTCTGACTAGGTCTGAACAGGAGAGCTCCATCGGGTTCAGCCATGGAGCTTCCATGCCATGAGGTGTAGCGACTCGAGGTTCAGGTGCTGGAGACAACCGTGATCCTGGATCAATAAGTCCGGGAAGAGCGGCAAGGTGACTGGGGCTTCCACAGACATTTCAGGAAGCGATGTGTACCAGTGACGGCGAGGCCAAGCTGGAGCTATCAATATCACTGAAGCTTGTTCCCTCCGTGAACGAGCGGAATGGGTGGAAACATGTAAAGGACATGGTCTCCCCATGGGAGCAGGAATGCATCCGCGATGGAGCCCGGGCTGTGATTCAGGAAGGAGCAAAACTGCTGACACTTCCTGTTGTGTCATGTGGCGAACAGGTCTATGCTATTCTTGAGTTCATTTTACAATTTAGATTAACATTGACAGTAATTGTAAAACATAGATGTGTTAATATATTAGCAATGTAGTCGATACAAACTTGTTAGATTTAAGCTTTAAGGCAGAAATTTGTCGAGTATAACACATCAGCCATTTCGGTTTATCAGTAGCTTGACCCTTATTGAGCAGTTTCTCTCAAAGCTTCCCCTTTTACCTGTTTCCCCCCTTAGGGTTTTCCTGTACCCTTAAATTTCCAGGACTAGAATGGCCATACAAGCTCCTTAAAGTCAGTAGCATGCAATCACTAATGACAACATCTATATTGTTTTTAGATTACACTTTGAAAATCTTGGGTTGATGCATGTAAATTCATGGTGGTATGCGTCTACTGTAATTTCAGCATAGCCAGTAAAACCAGTTTAGTCCAACATCATCGTACTCTAAAGTAGCCTGTGAACCATGAAGCAACAGGGATAAGGGGGTTGCTACTGCAGGGTAGAAAATTCATATTTCTTGGTAGAAGAGAAATGTTTTAACTGGCAGAATGTCAGTTTCACTTTGCATATCTCTGTACTGCATATTGTATATTTTAGCTAACTAGAGAGATCAAAGCATTCATCTGTGGTTCAGACATTACTCTCTGCATAGCTATTCAGGAATGAAATGCCATGTAGAGCAACTTATTCTTTATTGGTGTCACAGAGGCAACTTTCAGTCTATTCTCTCTCTAAAGTCAAAAAACAGTGGAGTTTCATTGCAAGAAGAGAGAGAGCCCTTCACCACAAGTGGTGGCAAGTTCCCTCCGACCCCTGCAATTGTAGGGGGCACTGCCAGATGTTGAGGGGACTTCTCTGAAAGGCCATGCCTTCATTCCAAGAAGGGAATAGGTAAACCAGCTTGACTTCATCTCCTACTGAGAGTTGCTGCAGCAAGACTGGGAGAGAGGAATTCTTATACTCATCCTTATCCCTCTAACAGGTTCTTTTTCATCAGTCTTCTCCCTCATCCTCTGATCAGCCAAAACAAAGGTAAAGTAGGATTTAATCATCCCTTTGGAATGCAGCATTTAATCTGGAATTACTGCAGTGGAACCTGATTAAAATGAGTTTCATTACTGTTGCATCCACACTGAGAATTTTAGGCAAGTCTCGCATCACATGTAACTCTATTGGTGCCAGAAAGACTGTACATGGGCTGCAGGCCATTTTACCAGCATGTCCTCTAAACCTGCTTTACGTTCCTACCATAGTCAGTGGAGTTGCATCAGTGGGCACTGGTGGCAAATGACAAGTCTCATTTTTGCATTCAGTGCAGGGCCGGCGCCAGGCACCAGCATTCCAAGCAGGTGCTTGGGGTGGCAATCTGCAAGGGGCAGCAGTCCGGGTGTTTTTGCCACCCCAAGAAGCGCACCAAATTGCCACCGCGGACGGCGGGGGCAGTCCGTGTGCTGTTAGGGCGGCACGCGTGTTTCCGTGTCGGCGGCAATTTGGCGGCAGCTTCTATGTTCAGCTGCCCGCGGCGGCAATTCGGCGGCTTTTGTCTTCCGGCTGAAGACAGAAGCTGCCGCCGACACGGAAACGCGCATGCCGCCCTAAGGGCACACGGACTGCTCCCGCCGTCTGCGGCAGCAATTCAGCGCGCTGCTTGGGGCGGCAAAAACAGTAGAGCCAGCCCTGATTCTGTGTCTATACATAACCCACAAGAAGTGAAAGTCCAGCAATTTGGGATTTTCAATCCACTCCATTCTAAGCAGAATTTCTCTGTAAATAACTTCATTACGAGCAGGTACCAATGTATGACATCAAGCGACGCTCTAAAACTTCCAGAACAAGGAGAAAAGCTGCAAAAACTGCAATGAGAATCTGTAAAACACAATCATAGCAGCCTTCACCCTGGCTTTTATGTATTGTTGTCAGCATGTCCATACAGCCTCTGTAAATCTGTTCCCTTAAACAACTCAAGGAAATTTTGCCCAAATTGCAGAGTTTAAAACCTTTTGCAAGACAATTTGGGGGCGGGGGCTATGGCCCTGAAAATTTCACTTACAGCAATAACAATTTCTTGGATGTTCTTCACATAAAGCTTCACATAGTCTAGGATATAAACTTCCATCTTATCGTGTGGTATAGAGAACCAGTTGCCTGCAATTGCTGCCTCATTTTCATTGTTTCCACTCCATAAAATGATGCATGGGTGAGATTTTAATCTCTTCACCTGAAATAGAAATCACGGTTGCAAAATTAAAATTCAATTACTTCCCTTTAACAGGATACCTTGTAATGTTTATGCAAGTTGCAAAGAGTTTAAACAATACTGGCTGGTTTCTCCACCTGCTGAAGTGATCTCAATGACAAGAAATATGAAAGATTCCAAAGGATACAGTACTATTGCAGCCATGGGAATAAGGAACCAATGCTGAAAATAGACATGTCAGTAACTTTACTCCATGAGTAATCATCCAGACTTCAATGGGAATACTCACATGAATAAAGTTACTCATGAGTTTGTAGAACCAAGTCCTAAATTTGCACATCTTTGAAACTACTGGAAATTCACATTTTTGGTAGACTATAAAAGAACAAAATATGTAGTGTTTTCATCTTTACTTCTCCACAAGGCCTATAAGATCACACTTTTTTCAACCCACGAAAAAACAACTTCCCTGCCTGGCCAAAAAAATAAATTAAAAAAATTAATAATGAAATGATACATGGCCCAGGCCTGTAAAATATATAATCTTCTCTTCTCCTAAAACATGTACAAGTAGATGTGAGATGTGGAGTAGGAAGACAGGATGGGGGACCCCATGTTACCCCAAGGATGACCTCGACATTCCTCTGCCCACCGTGTTCTGCCTTGCTTCTCTACAGGCCTCATTCCATTTTCTTGCTTGTGTGTGTGTTTGTTACTTGAGTGCACAATAGACTGCAGTCTTTAAAGAAACTCATGTCAGACAATGAGTAACAGAAACTAAACAGAACTACACAGTTAGTCAATACAAGCATATGGAAATACGGGTCCTTGACACTATTGAACAACATACCTGATGAGTAACTTCTGCTCTTACTGATTCTAAGTAGTTCTGGTCAGTTGGGTAAAGGGCACATGCAAACATAAAATCCTGCCAAATCTATAGAGCAAGAAAAAGGAAATACAAAACCTGTCAGCAAATATTTTTCTACACTTAAACAATAAATGATTTTCAGCTCACATGCACTTTGGTTCAGATGGAATTATTTGTCTTAAACAGCAGACGAGGTAGAAATTTTTAACTTACTCACTGTACATGAATACCAGAGGTGTCACCAAAACAGCTACGCCCCAGATGAGCTCAACTTTCACGTGCACATACACCCCCAGAGTTAATTTCCTCAATTTTAGTGTTTTAAGCCATTCCTTCTTCATTATGAGCCAGATTCTTCCACCTTACTCATGGTTTGCAAGTAGCTCCATTGCTTTCAATAAGAATACATGGAAGCCATATACTACTCAATATGAGTAAAGGTGGAAGACTCTGTCCATTAGTGAACAGAGTTCTTATGGCTTTTACGGTGTGTTTTGCATACACTCATGAGTAGAGCAACAAGTCCCCATTGCCTAAAAGCAGAAGAAAGTCATTACATTGATGTGTTTATTGAATTTTTTTATGATTTAAAGTACAGCTACTGTAACACTCCAGGCATGCTTCCCAATGCAACACATAACCTAAATTAACACTGAGAGAAAAAAAATGATATCCCTCATCCATCAGAGGGGGGAAAACCCAGGCCCTCCCACAACTCAATGTATCTCTTCAGAGAAAGCCTGGGTAAATAGATATATCTTGCAAGAAACCTCTAAGGTCGATGACAAAAAGTTGAGAAAAGCCTTTACGTCACGTAATCTATCTATATTCCCTCACAACCAGTGCAAGATTATTCTATACAATATATTTTATAATGTTCTGTTCAGTCCAGTTTCAACTGACTCAACTCACTACTTTTCCTTGACAATCTACTCCACAGATACCATAATCAGAAATACTTTCCTGATGTTCAAACTAAGTTTTTCTTTGCTTATTTTTAATACATTGAATTCTACCTTTATTGGGCTACCCGAGACAATTTCTCTCCCTCCTTGATGTTTACAGCCTGCAGCTATCTCCATGACAACTTAAAAAAAATAAGAAACTCCCTAAAGTATTTTATCATCATTTTAATGATTATCAGCAAAAATGAAAATGAACCAATATCAATTACACACTGATTGAATTAATAACCTGTAATTTCATAGTCTCCTGACCCAAATAAGCTGTTTCATTAGTGTCTCAAAAAAGGAGTTCTAAAAAAACTGAACATATTTCGGTCTGATGAGTACGATATCCATTTCTACCCATTTTCCTTTTAAAGTTTCCATGATTTTGAGATTCCTAATAGATCCTGTATTTTCATTTTCAGGGTGCTAAAGGAAAGACATGCTGAAGAATGTTGTCACAGAAACATCACTGCTGGAAAAGCCTTGCTCCATACATGAGAGTCCAGGAGAGCTGGCTGTATTTTAAAGAATCCTTATTGAAGTTGCAGGAAAAAAACATCCCAATGTGTAGAAAGAATAGCAAATATGGCAGGCGACCAGCTTGGCTTAACAGTGAAATCCTTGCTGATCTTAAACAAAAAAGCATCTTAAGCAAAAAAGAAGCTTACAAGAAGTGGAAGATTGGACAAATGACCAGGGAGGAGTATAAAAATATTGCTCAGGCATGCAGGAGTGAAATCAGGAAGGCCAAATCACACTTGGAGTTGCAGCTAGCTAGGGATGTTAAGAGTAACAAGAAGGGTTTCTTCAGGTATGTTAACAACAAGAAGGAAGTCAAGGAAAGTGTGGGTCCCTTACTGAATGAGGGAGGCAACCTAGTGACAGAGGATGTGGAAAAAGCTAATGTACTCAATGCTTTTTTTGCCTCTGTCTTCACAAACAAGGTCAGATCCCAGACTGCTGCACTGGGCAGCACAGCATGGGGAGGAGGTAACCAGCCCTCTGTGGAGAAAGAAGTGGTTCGGGACTATTTAGAAAAACTGGACGAGCACAAGTCCATGGGGCCGGATGCGCTGCATCCGAGGGTGCTAAAGGAGTTGGCGGATGTGATTGCAGAGCCATTGGCCATTATATTTGAAAAATCATGGCGATCGGGGGAGGTCCCGGATGACTGGGAAAAGGCTAATGTAGTGCCCATCTTTAAAAAAGAGAAGGAGGAGGATCCGGGGAACTACAGGCCAGTCAGCCTCACCTCAGTCTCTGGAAAAATCATGGAGCAGGTCCTCAAGGAATCAATTCTGAAGCACTTAGAGGAGAGGAAAGTGATCAGGAACAGTCAGCATGGATTCACCAAGGGCAAGTCATGCCTGACTAACCTAATTGCCTTCTATGAGGAGATAACTGGGTCTGTGGATGAGGGGAAAGCAGTGGATGTGTTATTCCTTGACTTTAGCAAAGCTTTTGATACAGTCTCCCACAGTATTCTTGCCGGCAAGTTAAATAAGTATGGGCTGGATGAATGGACTATAAGGTGGATAGAAAGCTGGCTAGATCGTCGGGCTCAACGGGTAGTGATCAATGGCTCCATGTCTAGTTGGCAGCTGGTTTCAAACGGAGTGCTCCAAGGGTCGGTCCTGGGGCCAGTTTTGTTCAATATCTTCATTCATGATCTGGAGGATGGCATGGACTGCACTCTCAGCAAGTTTGCAGATGACACTAAACTGGGAGGAGTGGTAGGTACGCTGGAAGGTAGGGATAGGATACAGAGGGACCTAGACAAATTAGAGGATTGGGCAAAAGTAACCTGATGAGGTTCAACAAGGACAAGTGCAGACTACTGCACTTAGGACGGAAGAATTCCATTCACTGTTACAGACTAGGGACCGAATGGCTAGGAAGCAGTTCTGCAGAAAAGGACCTAGGGGTTATAGTGGACGAGAAACTGGATATGAGTCAACAGTGTGCCCTCGTTGCCAAGAAGGCTAACGGCATTCTGGGCTGTATAAGTAGGGGCATTGCCAGCAGATCGAGGGACGTGATCATTCCCCTCTATTCGACATTGGTGAGGCCTCATCGGGAGTACTGTGTCCAGTTTTGGGCCCCACACTACAAGAAGGATGTGGAAAAATTGGAGAGAGCCCAGTGGAGGGCAACAAAAATGATTAGGGGGCTGGAGCACATGACTTATGAGGAGAGGCTGAGGGAACTGGGATTGTTTAGTCTGCAGAAGAGAAGAATCAGGGGGGATTTGATAGCTTCTTTCAATTACCTGAAAGGGGGTTCCAAAGAGGATGGATCTAGACTGTTCTCAGTGGTGCCAGATGACAGAACAAGGAGTAATGGTCTCAAGTTGCAGTGGGGGAGGTTTAGGTTGGATATTAGGAAAAACTTTTTCACTAGGAGGGTGGTGAAGCACTGGAATGGGTTACCTAGGGAGGTGGTAGAATCTCCTTCCTTAGAGGTTTTTAAGGTCAGGCTTGACAAAGCCCTGGCTGGCATGATTTAGTTGGGAATTGGTCCTGCTTTGAGCAGGGGGTTGGACTAGATGACCTCCTGAGATTCTATGATTCTATGGGGTCTCATCTTTCCAGACAAGATGCCAGACAGAAAGATGAGAGCCAGCTAAGCACTTCCTGCAGTGAGAGGATGCCCTTCCATGAATGATTCAGTGGGTCTTTCCTAAAAGATCTGAAAACAATTTTTAAAAAATCCGTTAATAAATGCAAAATCACACAAGTTTTACAATGGAAAAAAGTGCAAAAATCAGTGCACAATCAGGCCTTATAAAAAATACAAACCTGTGCAGGCTCCATCGGAGATTGTGTAGAGACAAACACCCTTTATAAAGGTATGTCTCAAAAGTATCTAACGGTATTTAGCATACTAGCTCCAGTGAATTGTTACTTCTTTTTTCTTTGAGATATTATCCCATTACAGGACTTGACTTTGAATCATTTTCCAACTCTTTATAAGATAGCAAGAGAGGCAAGTTAAGTAGAATATTCATAATCATCAATATTAAAAAATTTCTTGGTTGATTTTCATAGAAGCCTCTCTTTAAAATCGAAGTTCAATTTTTTCAGAATGGGGGCCAAATTTTAGGTACCTACATCAATATTTAGGTTACTAAATAAGCCCTGACCTTGCAGTGAGTTCTGCCTGGGCATGGAGCTAAATGGCCTATTTAGGTTAAAGTACCTACAAATCAAAGAGAACTGTAGGTGTTCAGAAGCACTGAAAATCAGGGCCCTTGTTTAGGTGACCAAAATAGATTTAAGTGCCCAGTTTTAGGCACCAAGTTCCAATAATTTGGTCTCAGTATAAGGAATATCTAAGAATTTTCTCTCTTGTATAGGCAAATCTCAGAGAGAATGTCTATGCATGGACATATAAACAAACAGAGGGAAGAAGACCCTTTCATATACAATGCTAATGTAATGTTTCTCTTGCAAAAATCATAGTGTTCCGTTTTCATGTGCGTTATGCTGAATGGTAGATGTAGGCACACTTCTCAAGATTCTAACAACAAGCACAACTCATATACTCAGTGTCATCAAAAACCACTGATGTGTATTTACAGTCTTGTAAGTCAGAGCTATGTATCTAGTTCCACCATAGTGTTTGCAGCAGGAGTTCCCACTACAGTCACGTTTACTCATTTACAGCTTTCCCCAAAATATTCCTTTGGGGCTGAAATTTTCCATGCGTGGTCTCAGGCCAAAGTTGAAAGTTTTTGGGAAGTTTGAATTAAATCTCTTCAGCTGTTTTGAGGTTAAGAGGACTTTATTTTTTAAACAGAAATAAAAATTTTTACAGAAGGGAAAGTGCAACTACCTTAATTGTTGATGGGATTATTCAAAAATAGCTGGAACTATAAGCAGGGTAGTTAATTCTACTGATTGTGCAGGCAGTACTCACACTGTTGAGAATTTATTCGTGTACTCCCACAGGTTTCAGCGGTGCTACTCTCACAGAAGTAAGTAATCAGAATGAGTAAAAGGTCCCACAATCTCCATGCAGAACAAAAAAAAGCAAAGGTAAGCCACATTTGAGGGGGGGAAAGGTGAACACTTTTAGTTATAAATATTTTAAATCATGTGTTTGTGTAGCCCACTGTTTCATGAATGTTACAAGTCATCCTTTGTGCCCAATCCACAGAGAATTCTATTGGATATAGGTTCTTTTACGGCACTCATCACTATAGTACTTGAGCATCTTCCAGCAGTGCATTAGTCAACATGACTAACGTCTGTCACGTGCGGTTCTTTCTATCTCTCATCTTCTCTTCTGGAGAAAGAATTGTGCGAGCAGTGCAGCGCTTTGTTTTGGTTAGGTGTTGTCTGGGGAGTTTTGTGACAGCTCTGAGCTTCACCACAGGCTCATGCTCAAGCAGTTCATGCTTTCAGCTCTGGAGGTCTTAAGTTCAATTCCTGCTAACAGACAAGGTGACAGTTGTTACACTTGCAACTGTGCTGTTGTTATACACCTTTTTGGCGCATAACAACAGCAGTTACATTCTGCCCATGGCCTAAGGCAGGATAACTTTTAGGAAGGTGCTGTACCTAGAAGCAGACACTTATTGCCCATGGCCTATGACCTTCCCCTCATTTTTTCCTCTCCACTATTTTCTTTAAACAAACAAACATGAGAAACTAAAGAACAACATGCAAGGGATAGTTCCGTGGTTTGAGCATTGGCCTGCTAAACCCAGGGTTGTGAGTTCAATCCTTGAGGGGGCCACTTAAGGATCTGGGGCAAAATCAGTACTTGGTCTTGCTAGTGAAGGCAGGGGGCTGGACTCAATGACCTTTCAAGGTCCCTTCCAGCTCTAGGAGATAGGTATATCGCCATATATTATAAGATACATTTAATGTTAAGGTCGAGACGTTAGAGAGCACCTGTGCACACATGCAAAAGGAAATTCAAATGTTAGGCTAAGTTTTTAATTTTTGGGTACCCAACTTGCAAGACCTTAAAGGACCCTGATTTTCAGAGCACCTGTCTTATGAAAATGAGGCCCCTATATTGTTTCAAGTTGGGTATCCAGAAATCACTAGTTCCTTTTGAAAATTTAGCCCAGATTCCTGTACCAGTATTAACACAGCTATCTCATTCATACACCAGTATTTTCTATTTGTTATTTTCTTGTCAATTTGGAATACAGGAGCTGAGCTGTCCTGTTTATTTTTTACCATTATTCCTAGTTCATCGCAGATATCATAGAATTCATCTTGCTCATATACTCCTCCTCCCCATACACGAAGCGCATTCATGTTAGCATCAACTGTGGACTGCAAGATGAGCTTTAACCTGTTCAATACAAAGAGAATTAAATCAGGAGAGCTAACAGTTGTATGAAATTACCCCCCCCCCAACTCGATATCCAGGAGAAACCTACACATGCTTGTATCCTTTTTCTACATCTGTCCAATTTATGTATATCATTAGCAGACAGGCCAAGACTAGTAACTTTGACAGAAACACCATTCTGACACCCTAGAAATCTGTATAAATGTTCACTGCACTCCCAAAGCTACATTCTTGCAAATAAAAGGACTCAATCCTGCTAACACTCACCAAAGAGACCAGTGGGACTACTCATGGTAGTAGGCACTACACTCAGTAACAAGCGTTTGCAGGATTGGATCTTAATGTTCTATCCCAGAAAGAGTCAAACACCCTTCAAAAAATGTTTTATTAAAAAAAAAAATGTAAACAAACACTATATTTATCCAAGTAGCTCCTTTGATTTGTTATAGTCTTTTCCCTTTAGAGTTTACCCTGTTTTATATACATATTACCTTGAATTTGAATAATTTCCAACCATTTCTGAAACATATCTAGGAGTCTTTTTTCTCATACATTCTACAAAGCATGTTGCGAAAAGGTCAAAAACCAACAGATGCATTACGGCACCCTAAATGACATTTTAAAATCATATTGGGCCCAATTCTGCCAACCTCAGGTCATTCTGAGTAGACACCTTACCCTAGAAGTAGTCCCACTGCTAACAACCTGAGGGTGGCAGAATCAGGCTCTCTGAGGATTACCAATATCACCTAGGCTCCCTGAACTCATCCATCAACAACAACATCAGAACACTACCTTCATGCAAGAGTCAAATCTCTTCCCCTTTATTGACCTGATTTTTACTCCCCTTGCTCACACTGAATAGCACTCTACACTGAAGATAGTTCCACTGTTGATGTCAATGGGACTGCTCATAGAGTGAGTGCTAGTCACCATGAATAAGGAGGGGGAGAATCTGTCCCTTTGTATTCAATATCTAAAGAATACTGATTATGACTTACCTATCAGAGGAAACTCTGTCCTGGAAGGCATCTGCTGGAATCCAGTTGGATCCCTTAAAGAAGATGGGGAGTCCGTTGATCCTGAAGTAGAAACTCAGGCCTGGTGAACCAGGTATAGGCTCCTCAACCAGTTCCACTGTTCGAAAATAAGCCTGTGGAGAATTGAAATTTGTGCATTTTTAGAGCAATCAGAGACATGAAAAATATAAAAAAAGCAATCTAAAAACCTAACCTTCACCTTCAGGAATTGTTAGTTACATCTTTCATTTGTTAGTACACTATTGAGCCATTTCTAAAATAGGTAAAGTATAATAGTATAGGTCTTTCAAATGAAACCATTGTGCACGTTTTGCTAAACCATCTATGCACAATATCAACTTACTTTCATTTTAAGAGGAGCTTGAAATAGAAAATTGCCAGAAGTTTCTGGCTTATTAACAGAAAGAGAGCGTGTGCATATGTGCGCAGACTGCACATGCTGCAGCAGACTTGCATATGTCCTGTTTGAGACCAGTGAGAGAAATCCAGAAGCTGCATTAGATTAAACATTAATTGTATTTTATCCACACCTTCTCTTCTTATGGAAGGAGATTGCAGAACCCCAGCTGTGGAATTCTTTGCCAGACAAGATGATACTAAGCCCAAGCCTGACCACTCAGATCAAAATATGAGACCTATCTTTTTACTAAAGCCAGTTCCCCCAGTAATGACATCTTTCCCATGGCAACTATCCAAAGGAGAGGGGAGCTCGTTTGGACAGCTTAGTTATATTTGAATAGGTGCAGTTCAGCACTAAGATACCATGGTGACCAGCTCAGACATACAACAGCTAGATTAGATAAAGCTACAAGCAAGGCTGTTCCTGACTGCGGTCATGTAGAGTTACTCATCAAGCAGAGGCCTGCACATCCATTAGAGCTGCCCTTTCATCCTGACATCTGGTAGATCTGTGCTTGTGGATAGAGCATTATAAACTATGCAAGCTTTTTTAATCCTTTTCCTGTTTGTGGAAGAACAGGACTGGAGAGTGCTGGACTGTTTTGGGGACTGTTTATTTGGGCTAAGTCTACGCACTGTGCTGAAGAATATTTCGTTTGCACTGACAACTGTACAGTAAAGACTTCTGGGGCAATATGGAAGTGAGCAGTTATATAGTTATGTTGCCAGAAGCTGGGAATGAGCGACAGGGGATGGATTACTTGATGATTACCTGTTCTGTTCATTCCCTCTGGGGCACCTGGCGTTGGCCACTGTCGGAAGACACGATCCTGGGCTAGATGGACCTTTGGTCCGACCCAGAATGGCCGTTCTTATATTCTTAGCTATGTGACTGAATGAAGAGGTCAGAGGTGTCTCCCTACCTACAGTAGGAGCAGTTGGGAGACAGCTGCCATTTTAGGTTCCTGTTCAGCTGCAGAATGTTACTGAATGAGACTCTCTCTCTTTCAGGAATACATTATTCTTGTTATTTCTTTGTTGTTTTCCTTACTCTGATACAAGTTATCTAGATTAAAAAGAATATATCCAGTTTGCTCTTTGTGCATGTAAGACAAGTATCAGTACATGTGTTTCTTCCTATTGCTCAGTACAGGAGACAGAGAATTGTGAAATTAATTCAAATGAAGTGAGGGAAAAGTAACTGAGGAACTGCAGCCAACAAAACCAAAACAGTGAGTCTATGTCAGAACTTGGGGATTTCCTAGCTCTCGGGCCTAACCTTAAATTACTAAACTGCACCTCCCTCAAGATTAAATTATTATTTGCCGTAACATTTTCAAGATATCAGGCTCGAGAATTGAATTGGACATACATCGGGGTGAGTATGTATACTAGGAATGTAGCAGTAGGGGTCAACTTAATACAAATAAATACAATTAATACATTTACCAACTGGCGTAAAACATTTTAATTCCACAAATCAAGCATAGGCTGAATTCAAAAGGCCACTGACAATGCCCATAGTTTATTTTGTGAAATATTTTAATCTTATCAATCATACAAATACTGAGGGGGGAAAACAACAGTATTTCATATGGCAAGAAAAGAAACAACACACACTTTGTGCTACTTGGTTCCTGTTTGGTGCTCGAGTCAACTTGTGCAATGATTAGTTTTATCCTCATGCAGGCAATGTGTATGACAAACCAAACTTGTGATCACAGATCATCTGTCACAGACTGATCCCTCCTATGTCAAAGTAACGACCAAAACGTACACAAGGAAAAATAGAAGCAGAAGCCTGACCCAAATATTACAGTATGGGGCAGAAACCTGAATGATTGTTTCATATGCATACAAATTGCGCTACAGCAATACAAATAATAGACAATAGTAATTATAATACTGTACAGAAGCAGCCGCGGATTAACGCTAAATGGTGCTCAGATCCAGTATGATCAAAGAGTCCCCAATCATACAAAGGTCACTTCACACCAAACCAACGTGCTCAGGGTACTCTTGGCTCCCTACTGCCACTGCTCCTAACACACTCTGGGGCAGGCTCCCATCTCATGGATCCTTGAATCCAAACTTTAGGAGTCCATGGGTTCCCTACAAGCCCAGGGTCCAGAGCCACAGTTTCTGCCTTAATCCACCTCTGTACAGAAGGCCACTGGTTGAACTACATGTCAGCCCCATATCTGCATGTTTTTGGGGGAAGGTCATCTGTCTCTGTGACCCATGAACTCCTCAATGCCAACTGGCCAAGAAGGTTAAAGAATAACCTGATATGTATATTTTGGTTCACCTAAGAATGTTATGTGAGATCTTAAGCCAGGATCACACTGGTCATTAATATCATTGTGAAATGTATGAACAGATACTATGTAAAGAGTTAGGTATGTATACTGAAAATGTGTTGTAACGTCTGTATCAAGGCAGAGTTGACAAACAGGTTTTCTGTCAGACAAGAGATGTTTTTTCACCTGTCTCTCTGTTGGTATTTAAATTAAGCATTGTAAGTCAACACAATGGCTGCACATCTACCTACCAAATCAACAGAGGGATGTGAAATCAACAGGGATGAAGCAGAGACACAGGAAAAAACAAGCAACTAGAGCAGACAGGGGAGGGTTACTATGAGGACAGACAATTAACTTGGATAGAAGTAGAAGGCAAGGAGATACCCCTTTATCCTGCACCTAGGAAGTAAACAGGCAGTGCATTTACATGGGATCTTAATCAGCCTTGGTTGAAACACTGCAGAAGACATTTTGGGGTGATATAAACTTATTTAGAATGGAGATTACCCGGTTAAAGTTTAGTCTGTTGTAATTTTGTTTCATAGGTGACCCTTTTGTTTCCATTATCCTTACTCACTCTCTCTCAAATCTTGAATCTTTAATAATAAATGTATGATTGTCACCACTATACATATATCTCAGTGCTGTGGTATTAAACAAGGTGCTGATCCTGAGTTGAATCATACAAGCTAGTGTGTATATTGTTCCCTTGGGGACAGCAGACCTGGTATTTCTGTGAGTGCTCAATGGAAAAGGGGCTGGACTCTACAGGAGAACACTTCAAAGGAGCTCAAGGACTGGAAAACACCTGTTGTTAACTTTCAAGGTAAAGGAAGGGCTGGCATTGCCCAGAGGAGATTGTTTGGGTGGCTAAGACAGGTGGTGTCAAGGAGCTGACACCCAGTTAAGCACAAGCAAGTCCGCTTCTCAATGGAGAAGATGGTAACAAGATGATTCACAGTCTGGCCCCTTGAGATCTATCACCGTCTCTCTCTCTGGCTCTCCTTTTATGAGGAACTTAGCCTTAGGACTGACGCATTCTACCCATTCCTGGAATTTGTTGTTTCCCACATCTATGCTTCTTGAATATAAAATGATAAACAGAAGTTTCTCTCACACAACTCTGCAGCTCGCATCACCATCAAAATCAATCAGTAACCAGATTAGGGACAAGCTAAAGAATTCCAAGTCTTTGTCAAGCAAATCCGATCAATTGGAGGAACCAAAAAAGTCAGGATATGTTGACGGTTTTTGTGTGGAATAGATTTGGATTTGGGCGTTTAAAGGTGGGAAAGATACAGCGGGAGAGGAAGAGGCCCAGAGCTGAAAATCAGGAGAGAGAGCTAGAGCTAGGATACCTAAATAAATGAACACAAGATACTAAAATACTGTGATGATGCTTGTGGTGTAAATGCCAAGATGGATTAGACAGAGTCAGACAGGACAGCTGTGTTGGAGTGATGCTAAAAATCTAGTGGGGGGGAAAATACAGGTGGTTAAAAAAACCCAAGTATTAAAAACAGCAGCAGGATGGAGATAAAAAGCTCCAATAATGAGGCAGAAATGAGTGCAAGGAGGGAAAGAGAAAGATCTCAGAAAACAAACAAACAGGAGGGAGGGCAAGAGGTTTCAATAAGACTAAAGAGAGAATTAAAGCAGCAAGAAAACAAACAAACAAACAGGAGGGAGGGCAAGAGGTTTCAATAAGACTAAAGAGAGAATTAAAGTGGCAAGAAGTTGTTTGATGGAGCCATGGAAGGGGAGAAAGAGGCTATGGATAACCAACAGAGCTGGACAAAGGCACTCCCGCATTCCAGAAAACACTTACTCTTTATGCTGGCTTTTGCTAGGATTTTATTCTGCAATCTTCTGAGAAACAAATTCCAACCCAAATAATTTAAATTATAGAAAAGGAAAAATAAGACCCTGAGTCTGGTTCTTGGCCATGTTCTGAGTTGTTTATGCCATACTTACAGCCTAAAGAGGCTGGAACGTAGACAGATCCCATCATCCACGAATTCCTCTGCCTCAGAGGGGTTCTCTCCTCGAGTAGGATTGGTGTGATGATCCTATGCTGCCCTCAGTATAGGGGCAGGACAGAGGCAGGAGAGGTGTATCAAAGGAGGGAGAAGGAGGCTGTAGAAAGCCACCGAACAGCCTTGGAGACTGCACTAACTTACTCTGAGTATTGCACCAGTCCTAACACTGGGCAGCTGCAAAGGTGGTGTAACGCTACTCAGAATGTGTGTATGTCTCTCTCCCTGCTCAAGTTAGGTGGATGTGCAATAGGTACAGAAAAGTCATTTTTAAATACTTTCTCTTTATATAGCTTAATTTCACTTACAAGGGCAGCAATGGAATGAAACTAGAAACTTCACAACGATTTTTAGAAATATATCTGTCCCTGTTGGAATCTCCAGAACCACTCCCAGTTCCTGAGTCTCTGGATGAATGTTACCACTATTCTACTCCTTCCCAGCAGAAATTCCAGCCTGCTGGCATAAGAGCGAATCCTCCTGGGATGTGCAAGAAAGGGAAGAGATTATATGGAGCCTTTCCTCCTTGTGCAGCTGCAGGGCAGGATTTTACAGAGTGACAGGGAGGAAGACCAGCTGCCATGTGAGCCAGTACAATAGGGTCCTATGTGGGGGTGACCTGCTGGCTAGGGGCCATAGCCTATAGACCAGACCTCAGCAGGTATTCTGAGGTGGCATTTTGCTTCTTTAAAAGGACCAACAATGTCCTGTGTACTGCTGTGAATCCCAGTGACCATTCTGCCACGCATCAACGTGGGGGCTCCTGGAGCACCTGCCCAATAGGAATCACTTTGCTTCCCCAATACCATGTGGCTTGCTCACAAGATTATATAGATGTTATTTTCTACACCATGGTTTTCTAAACCTAAAATCACTTTCCAAAACTCCATGCTGAGTTTATCTTGTTGCACATAAAAAAAACCAAACCTATATTTTGAACTATACTGAAAATATTGATCATGAATTATCTTCATCACTCTGAACACAAACTTTGGGCCCAATCCTGTTAACACTTAGCAGGACTGGTCATGATGGAAGGTAACTACAATGAGAAGTGACTTCAACAGGGCTTCTCACAGTAGTAAGTACTACAATGAACAGCATTTGCAGGAACATAGCTTCTGGACTAATTTTCAGTGGTGCAAAACACATACATATCATCTAGCAAATGTACAGATTTATTTAGTAGTTTCCTTAAGCTTATAGCATGTAGGACCCAGTCTAATTTTATCTGAATTTTTGAATAGGTTGAAGATTTGTGAGTGGTTCTTTAATGTCCCAAATCTTCTGAACATCCTAGTAATTAATGAAAAAGCTTTCTTCTATAAACAGGTACTTTACAAAATCTATTACATTGGGTAAAATAAAGTACCTAATTGCTACTTAGGCGTTCAAATTTGTGATACTGCTTTCCTCTGAAAGCTGGGACTCATACAGTTGTGTGTTTTCAACATATCCGGTATGCTCTAGTAATTGAAGTTACTTCAAATTTGTGCCTCACAGCACATCCCAAAAGTTTTATACACTGAAATTCCAAATAAACTTCTCTTTTTAAAAACAAATTAAATATAATTATACACAAGTTTTTTTCAATGTGTGTTACCAAACCATCAATGGTAAATTTCATGTTCATTGCATAATATAATTTATCACACCTGAAGATGACAAGCAAAATCCCACAATGTTTAAACAAATAGCTTTTAGTTTGGTTGGTTGTTTTTTTTCCCCTCAGTTTGAGAATTTTAAAAACAAACAAAACATCTTTTCTTTTTTAAATTTCAAATTAGTTTGCAAGTTGTCCCCTAGTCAGACTGGAAGTGCAGGTTTCGGCACAAGTGAAAGCTGACAGCGTGTTAGTTACCTTATATCTAGGGCTCCAGAAAATCCTGTTTCTAAATAATGGTCTTGTGTAAAAATTACAACCCAGCAGAACATTTTCTAATACTGCTTGAGAGCTACTGGGTTATTCAGTGACGCTTCCTGACATTAACTTCCTACATACATTATTAATTGAGAGGATTTATGTACCTTCGAAAATTTCTCAATCTTGTATCCTGCCCCCATGTTGAAAGTTGTTGTCATGTCATATCCAGTTTGGTTTCCATGGCCACTAGGCCACCAAGTCTGCACTGTAGCACTCTTAAGGAGGGAGGAAACAAAAACAAAAAACAATTAGAAGCTAAGGTCAGAACAGCTTGTGTGAAGTTAGGCATGTGTCTCACAATAACAACTGTGCATCCAGTAGGAGATTTTCAAACACATAAATGGCAGTTGGGCCCCAGCTGGAAGGGGATAAAATGGGATCCAGCCAGGGCCACCCCGCCCCACAGCACCAGAACTATACAGGGGAGACCCACCCCATTACAGGGGCACTAGAATCCCGGAAGTTCCTCCCCTTCCTCCCTCCCGCCCCCCCACCAACACATGGCCTTGGGGGAAAAGTGCAGAGGAGCCTGTCGAAGACTCCAGCTAGTCAGAGCAGAAGCAGTCAGAGCAGTGACTTCTGGAGATTCAAAGAATTTTGTAGTTTGGACTGGACTTTCTCTGATCTGTGCTGATCGGCTGTTTGCTTGAACCTGCACCTTCTTCCTCCCTCAGTCTCACACCATACCTGCTTGTGTGTTCTACCCCATCCCTGCTTGTGTGTTCTACCCCGTCCCTCACCCTGTATCTGTCTCATCTATTTCAACTGTAAGCTCTTCAATGCAGAGACTGTCTCCTACTCTGTGTTTGTACAGCACCTAGCACAATGGGGCCCCATTCTTGGCTGGCCCTCAGGCACTATTGTAATAAACATTATTAATAAATAAAACAACAATATAACAATAAATAATAATGATAATACCCATTGAATGGAAAGGGGAGATAGGCACCTAATTGCCGTTTGTACCTTTGAAAACCTTCCCCCTCATCTATCGTGTGTGAAACTAAATATTTACCTGTAGCCACCTCTTCAAGTACAATCCGGGTCAAATGTTGGTTGCACTCACTGGTTCAGTTAAATTGAGCTTTTAAATAAAAGAAAAGGATCCATCCCCTTCTCAGGCTTCAGGCCTTTGACTTTTTCCTCCATATTATTAGTTTTTATTGATTTAATTTCTGGAAACAAAAAAAAAGGAACTTTCCCCCTGTGATTTAGTATCATCTTGTTTTCCCAAAAGAGATGGAGCAAGGTTAACAGCATCCATTTCATATAGTTATATCTTCATGCCAACAACATACTATAGCTGCCCAGTTCTATAACTTACTATGAGCTGCATTCACCAGTTCAGTACACAAATTGGGGAAAGAAAGCAGTAATATGTGCACCAAACAAAGGAAGGATCAAAAAAGAATATGTTAATGCAAGAGGTGCCAGGATCTTTTTGCATAAAACCAGGCCAAAGAACACCTCAGTAATATGATTTGCTGTAGCCATACTCAGACATAATCAGCTATAGCCACTTATTTCAGCTTCCATGATCTGGAATTATCTTAAGCAATAGTGTCTGAGTACTAATCTGGACATTCAAGGGATAAAAACTGAAGCATAAAAATCAGATCATGCCTCATCAAATATGGAGTGGCTTTAGAAAGCTAGACACAAATGGAGCTTTCTTATTGGTTGGTAATGATGTCATACCCATATCCATCTATAAGCAAGCAATTTCAGAACAGCAAGAAAACACTGTGCAGTGAATTTCAGGGTGATTATTGTACATCTCAGGTTGTTACAATCCACTTGAGCAGTCTCGGACCTAGATCATCATCTGAAGTGAGCTCTCATTGACCAGAAATTCATTTCTTGCCAGGTCTTGCTGTTTGTCACACCATGCAAATCTGTTGCACAGAGTATGGGCTCAGTCTGGCTCATAGATATGTAACAGCACACTGCTGTGTCTCTTGTAAAATCAGCTGCTGTGAATTCATGCAGCAAAAGCCCTTTATGTACGAAGAACAACAACACATTGTTGTCTCTGCTCTGAGGGCACCATTTCCTCACAAACTACTCTCAGGCTCATGGTTGTATTTTATTAACCAATTTCTTCCCCGGGGCAGAGGAGGGGGGAATGCACCAAAGCACAAAATCATGTTCAGTTTCATATCACACTGTATGTATTACTGCAGACTAAAAAGGCTCACTAAAGGCTAATATTTGTTTTTAAACAAAACCCTCTAGAGCCTTGATATTTGTACTTCTTCATGTAGCCATCTGCCAGTGGTCAATAATAGTCCCTTTTAAAATAATGAAAACATCTGAATCAACCTTGGCCACACACACCACTCTCCACTCCCAGATTCACCTTAATAGGTGTTTCTTCTCCACACACACAGCACATAGGAGTCCTTGGGAATATAAACCAAATACCTTTCAACAGGGGGAAAAAATCTACACATTTAAATTACATAGCAAAATTAAGTTAACAAAACCAGAAAAATGTATGAAGGGTATGGCAGATCCCCATAGTCTCAGAGGTTATTAATTGGGTTTGTCAGGAGCCCAAGATTCTTGTTCTCAACAGCGTCCACACCCACAAATCCAATTAGACTCAGTGGTGGTCAAATGGGAGGAGGATCCCCTCAGCTTGTTTGCCCCACTCCAAAGAAGTCAGCATCACCAGCTCCTGCTCTGGTCAGCTAGTGCCAGACCCTGGTTCAGGTCCGCTGCTGTCAAGTTCAGTTCTGTAGAGGCACCTCCACTAGGTCCAGATCTCAAGGCAGGAAAGAACCACTACTCCATTTTACTCATCCTGGGCTCATTGCCCAATGCAAGCCCGTTACTTCTCAGCACAGGTTGACCCTTTTCTCCAGAGTCTCTCTAATAATTTCATAACTACATTTACAGGACAAATTTAATAGAATTCCTAAAAACATAAGCACAAAACACTATGGAACTACATGGAAGTGAAATTAGAATTTATGTAAATTAACCTTGCCAGTAGCTAGCCTTTCACCCACTGCGAGGTGGGGGATGGGAGAAGGGTTGGACAGAGAGAGCTTCTGTTCATTCTAACTCTAGGGTGTATACCTATTCATCTATTTTCAGTTGTGTTTCTCCTCTCCCAAGGAGTGCTTCATTTCTCTGACACTCCACATGTCTTCAAGGATCCCTCAACTCAAGGGACTAAATTCAGAACTAGTGAAAGAGGTGCAACTTCACTAATTTTGCACCCTCCTCCCGGCTAGCCAAATTCTATACATGACTCGTTTGCCCTCAGGTATACAAAGGTATCATTACTGTTTGTATGAGGAATGCTTTTCCCTCCTCCTCTAAGGGCCAAACATATTGCATCCTGACAACCGTAGTACCTATCTGCCCAGAAAACAATGGTCTGGGACAGGAAATAGTGCTATCATATAGGATCACAGAACTGCCATACTGGAGTAGACCTGAGATCCATGTAGTCCAGTATCCTGTCTGACAGTGGTCAGTACCAGATGCTTCACAGGAAGGTGAAAGAAACCCACAGTAGGTAGATGTGGGATAATCTGCACAATATGTACCAACAAGAAGAAGGGTTTTGAGGATTAACACCAGCACAACGATTTCCCGGCCAACAAAAGCAAGAGATGATGTGACCTCTCTCTGTCTCTCACTTATTAGGAGTGAAATGCCAGATATCCCATCCACACTGCTCTTTGGTGTCCTAATGGAGGAGTCAGTTGTGAGAAGGTAAGAGAGCTGTTCCCCTGCCCTAAAAGGCGTCAGGCACAGTCAACACAGCAGAGATGAGGAAAGTGAATGGGAAAATTAAAACTGTGCTGGAAACATCTTGCATTTTCTTTCAAGCAACCAGAAGGAAACGTTTTGTTACTTGGACTGTTCAGGATTCACCCCCTCACCTTATTGATGTTTACGAGCAGCACAATTCTGCCTTCTCCAGGAGGAAGTTCTGCAGTATAGGTTTGCTGTGTTTGCAACTTAGGAATGTTCACTGTCACGAGACCAACAACTGGCTTTGAGCTGACTACATCAAAAACAGACTCTATTTCAAGACTCCACTGCTGAGCACTCTTCACTAAGCAAAGAAAACAAATTGTATTTATTTATATTTCTATACATACTAATTCACATGTCCCTAGTCTTATTAAAGATACAATTACACACACACACACAATTTTGTTTTGCTTTTGAACAGGACCTATGCTTCACTGTTTAGTGCATTTGATACCTATGTTTACGTTTGCTCATTCAGACAAGGACTATGCACAGTGTAATGGAAATTTGTAACTCATTTTTTCCCCCATTCCTAAACAACATACAACCTTTGAAAGTTCTGTACAACATAGAGCATGAAGCTCTCATTCTTTATCATTAAGAAGGAACTTTTCCCACTCAACTTCCACAGTCATTATGTTTGCTTTGTCAGTATTCATATGAGCATAGGTCTCTTCGGGAAAGGTCGCAATCACAAGGCAACACAATCACTTTTATCTACTGAACAAAAACAGTATTAATAATAAATGAGCCAAATTCATCCACCATTAATGTTGCCAACTTTCTAATTATTGAAAACCGGACACTACAGCAGGAGTGTCAGAAGCTCCCACCGCACCCTGCTCCGCCTTTTCACCCCCAAGCCATACCCCTACTCTGCCTCTTCCCTCGAGGCCAATGATCTCCCTTTCCTTCTTGCTTGATCCTCTCCACCTCCCTCCCGCCCTCAGCTGTGCTCCCTCTGCTCTGGGGCTGCAGCCCCTGATGTGGAGTTTGCTTGCCCATGACACATAGGTAGGTGGTGGCCCTGACTGAGCCGGGGCTGTGCAGGTTGATGACCCGGCACCCGACCCCCGCCCGCAGCACCAGGTCCCCCTTCAACCGGACTTTCTGGTAGACAACCAGATACCTGGCAACCCTACCCCCCATGTCACTAGATAAAATGAACTGAGTTATGCTGGGGATGAATTGGGCCCACTGTGTCTAAACCTGATGGGTCCGTATGTTTGTTTCTCTTTTGTCACTGAAGCGTGTTAGAGGAAACATGCTAATGACTACTTGTCTGCTATCTCTCTGCACTTATGCCAAAGTGTTCTCTTGCTTAAAGAATGATTCATTAACAAGGTAATCTGGTGAAAGGGGTATCTCCAACTAATGTTTGCTGAAACTTCCTGTTAATGTGTTAACTTTGTAATTAAACTATGTATACGCAAAGGCTGGCTAACCCTTTACTTTGCATAAACCAGCTGAATATGCTTCCTGGGGGTGGGGTTCTCAAGTTTAACCCATGAACATCTATGCAGCTCTTTGGACTCCTGTTAAGGACATGTGTACGTGTGTGTGTACGTGTGTATTCCCCCACTTCCTCACAGGGGTCATCCCTCTTGGAGTGGGTGTGGGGCAGCAGAGTCTAGTGATGGCAAATGGAGGTACCTGGTAGTGTTTCTGTAGTAGTCTCAGCTGTGGCCCTGTATTTCTTACCCTTCTTCTTGTAACAAAGATATTGGCAAAACACAGCTGAATACTGTGCATGCACAAAGGCAAACAAAACAGGGGAGACGTAGTATTTTTTTATTATTATTACAAGAAAATTTGCACTGGTCTAATCATTTTTCCTGCTTCTGTTTCTTCCACTGGTCATTCTGCCTGTACAATAATATAACAATGCAAGAACCACTGAAAAAACAGGACTATAAAACCCTTTTGTTTAATCTCCATTGTTAACTGCCAATTTCCTCTCTGTGTGTATCATAGATCTACTTCCTTCTGATAGTTAAGTTGTAGTATCTCCATTTTGATTTGGGATAAAAGAGAAAGCAGTTTCTCTCCAAACAAAATTCATCCCTGGTGTAACTTCACTGGCTTAAGAGAATTCATTGGGATGAATTTGGCCCAAAGCTGACATCACGCCTGCACAGAGGGCATGATTTTCAGAAGTGCTGAGCACCCAAAATTCACATTAAAGTCAATGAGAGCTGTGGGTGGGGAAAATCAAGGTTAGAGACACTACATAAAGGTCAAAACCATCAACTTTCCCCCAGATGCACTTTTCCCCCTCCCTTCCCCTGGCATGAGAGGCCAAGCCATTCCTGAACTCCTGGCACTAGATGGGAAAAAAAGGGAACAAGGGCTCCTTTAGGGATCCAGTGGTCAGGAGGCTATGACTCAACGATCTGGCAAGCAACACAAGTGACTGCGCTGTTTCAACACAGCACAAGTTGCTGATTCATTGTTTATTCTTTCAAATTTCAGTCTCTTAATTTTAATGAGCTCGGTCTCCAGGTTGGACTCCGAAAGCTTTATCTGCCGAATGAGAGGGCCCTGCTGCCTTATCCAACAAGCCATCCCTTGGCTGCCAGCAGGTGGAGTTGTGAGGATGTGGGAGGAACCAGGCAGCACTTACATATCTGAACTTCCCAGAAGCTGTACTGAGTCTATGCTGAGGCTTTCCATTGAAATTTCAACTGCGTTAATTCTGGCTGAGAGCTGGAGCTATTTTTGGAAGCTATAAAAGCATCCAGGGAAGTGACGTCTTCCCCTTCCATTTAGACACAACATCTTTCTTCGTAAAGCGTGAAATTCAGCCCAGTGATGAGGGCACGCACACTACCCACCCGCCCTATGTTAAGTGGGTCTTGCATGGAGCGGAGGGTAGTGTGGGTGGTCTCTACTGGCATGCATTACACTTGCAGACAGTTGAAACAGAAAATAAACTAATTTTGTTCAGCTTCCACAATCTTCAATACCAATGAAAGACAAACAAATGGCAGAGCCAGGCAAGGAAACCGGTTAGGTGGCAAACATGCAATGGGAAGTCCTCTCAAATTGCAGCTTGAGAAAAACAATCTTTGCACATCATAGTTGCTTTTCTGTTCTAGTCTCTTCCATGAGCCCTGAAATTTCAGCACTGTTGAAACTGTGCTGACACTGCACTTGTCAACTCAAGACAGAACTACTGCTCAAACAGCAGCACTATCTGTTTGGGTTTTTTTAAATGGAAGTGTAAGAGTCAGGGGAGAGAAGAGAGCAATTTATATGGGAAGTTTAAGTGAACAGACAAGCTGATGCAAAAGTAATGCTCTAAAACAACAGAACAGGACAGAGATAAATCACTATTATAAACCTAACACACATTTTTTGATGCACTGCTGGTCTCTTTATGCAATACAGAGTTTGCATTCTGGACTTTTAATAATTTTACCATTATTATTTATACTTCAGTAATGAGATTTGGACTCCATTGTACTCAGCACTGTCCATACAAACAACAAAAAATAGTTCTTATGTTCCTATTCCAATTTACTAAGTAACTGAACTTAGAATAAGACGTCTGTATTTCTCAAGTGAAACAAGAATAAAGGGCAATATCATCATGACTTACCATAGCTGGGGGTCAAAGTGAAGTAGATCAGGTGACAAAGGTTATAGGCTTCAATTCTAACATCTTTCCAAATTCCTTGAGTGGGAAAAGAGGGACCCCAGTCCCAACTGAACGAAGATTGTTCCTGGAATACAGAAAGATGTAGCACAAGTATGTATTTTTCACTTAGGGACTATTATTGTTCCAGACAATAAACAGACTCTTTATAAAAATTATCTACTGTATCTAAATAAAATATTCCTATAAACCAAATAAAAGGTTCTCCAATTTCCAATAACTCAGGAAGAACATACAGTATCTTTTCCTTACTCTTTGGCTAAAATCTGCTGAGAGTTAAAACCATACAAAATCAGTGGGAGAGCAAAATCACACCTACCCCCTCCCTTAAAAAAACAAACAAACAAAAAACACCAAAAAATTCAATAGCAGCAAACCAGCAGTTACTCTCAAAACAGTTCTGACTTATCCACAGTCTTAAAGTCAACCTTTAATTTTAAATGTAAGAGACAAAGAAAGGAATAGCACATTGATGGATAAAGGTGTTTACAATAATTTAAAGGGATACTATCAAAGAAATATCACAGGAGCATGAAAATGTTATGTCTACTATTGTTACCAGTAACACAGACTAGTGTAACTGAAAGAGATTAGAGATTCAGTGTGTTTGTTTGGTGCATTTTGTGTATAACAGGTTCACTCTTTCTCCCTTTTGTTTGCACGGTTCTTTCATACAGCAACAGGAAGACAATAAAACACGTTTAAAAAATAGAAAAATGTCATTGTGACTACGCAAATTGGCAGAATTAAATACTCATGGCCAAGCATAGCACCTGAAACTACCTTCAATTTATTTTTAAAAACTGACTCGATTTTTAGTCAACAGCATCCCTTTAAGACATCTATTGAGCTGACCTCCAAGCTCCACAACGTCCTCCCCCTCGTGCAAATACAATAGATCTTGTTAAAGTCTTGTACAGTGACCTACCGCTCTAAATTTAGAGACCAATAATTTACAGCTGAAGCATACTAATTTTGGCAAGCAACAGTGTGTTAGTCAAGCCTATTCCCTGCATCACAGGAGTCAGCTTGCGTGTCTATCAAGTTGCAAAAGCTTCTTCTAGGAAGAAAGCAATGAACCAATTTCAAATTTAACAGCAGGGACAACCAGTTCTTAGAAAACAGTCCTGACTGGGAATAGTCTTTTTCTTTTTAAAAACTGTATCACTGACAAACCGTCAAGGTTCATTAATATAATCCCTTATATTTTCACCAGCTATTGTAAAAAGCCACCAGAGCAATATGCTCATCTCCAAGTATTAAAAGGTACATTTTCAGTGTGGGCTTGGGGTGATTAGGCCGCAAGACTCCCATGAAGATTTAGATGAGTTTAACATTCTTAATACTGAACCTCATCTACATATACATAGTGTTCCATTACTTTACAATGGTAAGACTCAAACGAACTTTAAAAATGTTGTGTTTATTTACTTTCAAATGTGGCAGCTCTGCTGTTATACCCATATGTTTGAAATGAAAGCCGTTTTAGGAAACATTCCAAGCAATCTGCAAGTAGAGTAATGCAATTCCTTTGAGGATAAAATCACTAAAGGTACTTTCCACAAGTCTTACGAGTTTAAATATATAGCCCAGCAAAGTATAAAAATAATTCCTAGCAATTTCACCTCTATAAATAGGACTACAGCTGTTCAAGCTCCTTCCCCTCCGGACTGATTTCTAACAAACATAGTGGAAACAACATATGGACTCTGCAGGATTAAACAACTCTCCAAGATTTCATTAACCTTCATAATAAAAGTGAACCCCCCCATTCTTCTCCCCACTTAGGTATCAAATTCAACCATAGCAAGGATAATCAGGGTTGGCCCAGAGATTAATGCTTAGTTCTGCTATAGTTCAAAATTGCAATCCGTAGGGATTTTAATGGTTGTGAAGGCAAATGTCTTCCTCAGACCCAAGAGGAAAAGGGAACGGAGTGCTTTGGGGAACAAGGCACCAAACCCTCTGTTGACAGGTTCCAGAGGAATTACATTCAGTCATAGGTCAAAAAGATTCTGGGCATGGTGTTTGAGGTTATTGAAAATGGAGGATCTGTAGTTCTCTGTTGAGAATACAGGGGTCAATTAGCAGGGAAGGCATTTAAACTGTGACAGACCAACAAAAGAAAGACAATTCTGAAACTCGTTATTTTCCCAATTGTGCCTCGTTACTGCAAGGCTCTTTCAGAACAGCGTGAGATCCTACACAGAAGATATTCTGCCACAGGTAGTTATAACAGCGTGAACTAAAGACTTACAGTTTCCCATCTTTGGTAGTTTTGTGCTAGTCTGTAATTTTAACTTTATATATATCTATATACATATATAAATATATCACACTTCACAACACCTTAAGATGAAAGTGGGCTCTCCGTTAGATAACTCTTGTCGGTACATGCCAGAGCTGCACAGTATAAATAGCACAGCACATGAGCAATGGCAAACACTGACAAAGTTGCTTGGCTGAGATTTTCACAGCCTTGGCAATAAACTCTGGCACTCAGAACAGCTAACTATTGTCATTATTCCTTGCTAAACTCACCCAGTGGATAGATTGATAGTGACTACACAATCTGCCCCCCCTAGAAACACCCTTCTGGCTGTCAGTCTGCTTGCTGACATCTTGACAAAGATAACCTTTTAAAAATTCTTGTCACACAGATAGCTACCCTAGCCTTTTTATGCTTCTTACAGATTACATCTATATTTTGGATTATGGGATTTTTTGCTATGAAAAATATGCCCTAGTTATGAAATTACACCAGAGGTTTCAGAATGCATTTATTATGACAGTACATTGTGCATTCCTGCATCCAAGCCTCTAGTCACATACACACATGATCTTGCTCTTACCTTTCTGATGAAATTAACATGGCACTCCCCTTTCTGTACAGGTGGAGGGCACTGCGGAGGCACCCTGTATGCTCTGTGAGATCTGCTCTGCTCTGCTGCATATGAAATGGCTGATAAGAAACGGATCTCAATAAAATTGACCTCCTTGATCACACTGGTAATATCAAAGCTCTGCACCAGGAAAAAACAAAAACAAAACGGTATACCACTGAAGTTTAGCTGTGAGCTTTATAAAGATTGGCATATTCCTTTTAGACTATATAGATATTATTTGAATATGTTTGTGAACTAGTCTTTACAGGTTGCAGGACTGGAGGAAAAGAAAATTAGAATACTTCTCAAACTAAGAAAAAAGGCACACTAAGTCCTACATGTAGCTCCTTCTGGGCAAACCCCTAGGCCCCACTGCAATCAATGGGAGTCTATGGGTATGTCAATACAGCCCGCAGAAGTGAGCCTCCCAGCCCAGGGTGACAGATTTGAGCTAGCAGGCTCACACTAGCACTCTAAAAATAGCTATGCAGACAACACTTTGAAGATGTAGCTTGGGCTGTGAAGCATGAGGATGGGGGGGTGAGCTTCAGAGCCTGATCTTAGGTAAACTGAGTACCGAGCTGCACCTTATACAATCCTCTGCTACCAAGGCATAGTATGGTTCCCCATCCCTCCACTCCAGTCTCTAAAGTATAGATACACTAGCATCTCTGCACTGAGCAAAGAACTCTCTGTAGGATTTATTTATTAACCTGTTAGACCAGGGGTGGGCAAACTATGGCCCGGGGGGCACATCTGGCCCTCCAGGCGTTTTAATCCGGCCCTCGAGCTCCCGTTGGGGAGTGGGATCAGGAGCTTGCCCCAATCCGCGCGGCTCCTAGAAGCAATGGCATGTCCCCCCTCTGGCTCCTATGCATAGGGGCAGCCAGGGGGCTCCGCACTCCGCCCCCGCCTCAAGCGCCACCCCCGCAGCTCCCATTGGCCGGGAACCACAGCCAATGGGAGCTGCAGGGGCAGCATAGGAGCCAGAGCGGGGACATGCCATTGTTTCTGGGAGCTGCTTGAGGTAATTGCTGCCCGGAGCCTGCCCCCCAACCTTCTCCCACGCCCCAGCCCCAGCCCTGATCCCCCCTGCCCTCGAAATCCCTTGGTCCCAGTCCAGAGCACCCTCCTGCATCCCCAACCCCTCATCCCCAGCCCCACCCCAGAGCCCGCACCCCCAGCCGGAGCCCTCTTGCCCCCCAACCCCCAATTTTGTGAGCATTCATGGCCCGCCATACAATTTCCATACCCAAGTGTGGCCCTCAGGCCAAAAAGTTTGCCCACCATGGTGTTAGACCGTCCTCTATTTGTGGATGGACAGAAAGGTACATATTTAGTTTTAAAACTCTTCTGCTCGCACCACTATACCCACCCCTAATTTAATTTCACCCGGTAAAACGAAGATTTCAATTGGTTATTAGTGTTTTCTCCACACTATTAGTTTGTGGCATGCCTGCTATTTGTTCCTGAATTTCTACCAAGCGGAAGTGCCCCTGCCCCTCTCCACAATCAGTAGCCACTGTCCTTGACCAGGCAGCAGACCACCACACAACAAATTACAACATAAGCAGCCTCCACAGAATAGATTTACCACTAAAGTGTTTTACAAATGGAGCCACTGAACAGAGTAACTGCCAGAGTCTTGCAATCCTTGGCTCTGTCCTAGTCTGTTCAATTCTACTTTACGCAGTCACTTCACAAAGCAGATGCTACTAGTGGCCTACCAAAATGAAGATCCAGAAATAAATACTGAATAATAATATGTTGCAATTCTACAGCATCTTCCATCTGTAAAAGGTTTTGACACCTTCCAACATTAACTAAAACTTCACAATAAACCTGTGAAAAAGAGAAGAATTAATATTCCTATCTCACAGGTGGGGAACCGAAGCACAAAAAGGCTATTTGATTTGTTCCAGGTCATGCAGGTCTGGGGAAAAGCCAAGAACAGAATCCAGATCTCCTGAGTTTGCAGGTCTGTGCCTCAGCCATAAGACCCTCTTTTCTCTAAAGCCATGAAGGTAAATGTTGAGACATGAAGAAACTAAGGATCTCTGTGTGGCTCAGTTTCCCATCTATAAAATGGATATGGGCTTTCCTTTCTCACAGGCTTTGTCTGTTTTGTCTATTTATACTGTAAGCTCTTTGGAGCAGGGACTGTATTTTACTAAGTGTTTGTATAGCACCCAGCACAATCTTATAATTGAAATCTACAAAATTATTTTGTATGATTATGGCAATCCTAAAATGGGACTGTGACTATTCAGTACCTGATCTTGTCATACTGATACAGACTAGGACCAAAGAGACAACACAATGGCATCAAAAGGCCTGGGAATTAGATACTATATTAGAATGAAAGAAAGAAAGAAAGAAACTGCCTACAAACATTTATAAGTAAGCTTTACACTGCATGCATTTACACTTCAGCATTCACATGTAAAGCAGCAGCATTCTAATACCAATTAGTAAGCAGATTTCCAGCTAATATAACTAATTTCAGCTTCAGTTTTCTTAGAGCTGTGGCAGTTCCCAAGAAGCAAGACTTATATTATTAGGTAAACTGTTCCTCTTGCCATACTTCTTCTAGATTACAACATGAAATGTTCTTCTCTAGGCCTGATCCTGCTCCCACTGGGAAGCCAATGCACCTCCCCTTCCCAGCATTGAGGTGGCTTTCTGTATGGTTCTCAGATAAAGACATTTCAAACCCCATGACATATTATCAAGTCTAGTCCATTACATTTTACTCTGGACTGAACACATTGGGGGTATTACTGTGTACTTGTCTAGGTACGAACTGCTTGGCAGAAAAGTGCTTTGAGACAACTGTAGAATTGCCTTTAGAAATACCAGCATTACTCACATATCTGTTGAACATGTTGTCCGTTCTCCCAACAATGACATTATTGATCAGGATTTGCGCTACTGTATCTACTCCCTCGAAAACCAAATTCACTTTCTGCCATTTGCTATGAATGATGACACAGGAATGTAAAATTATTAGGGTACTTTGAATTAACTACACATGAGAGAATCAATACTGAAATCTATGTCCCCAGTATCCTGAATAACAGCTGTTTCAATGGGTTACAAAAATACTTTCCTCAATACTTTATCATTTCAAATTAAAATGACAGCTGACATGGATCAGACTCGCAATACAGCACAACATCCCATGTTAAATAGATATCAGATGTGTGGCTGCTTGCTTCCTATCAGCTTTATTATTACACTTCAGCAGTTGGCAACTTGTACACCATTTTTTGACAATGGGGAAAAAAATCTTGAAGAAAAAAAAAAAGTAACCCACTAAGTGACATTTAGCAACAGGCTGCTTGAAGCTTATATCCCATTACAGAATTTGGTTTATTACATCTGAAAGTAATAGGTGGATTTGGGGCTGACTGACTTAACAACAAGCATTTCTGCATGGAAGATAATATAAAACTATTCTTATTGCATACCTGACATCAAAAGGACTTTTGAATGTCCTGCTGTAAGTCCAGTTATCCAAGGAGATCCATCTGTAGGTCAGGTCATTAAACCTATAGTAAGGATCCTATTGATAGATGAACAAAAAACATTGCGGTGTTACACAAATAAAATGAATACTGTTATCTAGTAGGTGAGTCATTTTCTTTCAGATATTCTGCAAGTGCACAATCCAATTATCTTATTTTGGTTAGCTTTAGGAGGACAGATATTTCTTCCACTTCTGAAGTGATATGTGAAAGCAACAGCTTTAGAACATTTTGACATTAACTGTATATAGGTCAAATCCCGCTTGCTGTACTCAGGTTTAGAAGTAAGGGGAGCAGGATTTGGCCCTTATTATGCTGGGCTGAAAATAGAAAGAATTCAACAGAGGTAGCAATTCGAAAGGAGAGCAAGAGCAGCAGAACCACGTCCACAATGACAGAGGATAGAGAACAGACAAGATGATAAGGGCCAGGGAAATAGATTCTTCAAACCTCTAGAAACTATAGTGAACAAACCTGTATGGTTTTAAACAGCAACATCCCCAGAAATCCACACCAATCACTCCTGATATGATAGGAATATATTACATTGTTATATTTGGCAGGGAAAAGTGGAAACACATTTTGGTTGGTTGAGTAAAATTAAAATGTCTACCAACGTTCTTCCCCCCAAAAGACAGTTATGTGAGAACCTCACTGTAATTACAACAAATGTGCTATTTTCCTTTTAGTCATACTGCTCACTCAAGAATTATAAGCACATTCCTTACAACTCATTCCCACTCCCTTTCCCTTGATGTTCCTTTCCTTATGTTGGGTCACTTCGTACCTCACCTAGACTGCAAACAACTCAGGGCAGGTGTGTGGACCGGATACTCCACTGCCTTGCACCTTGTGCAGCCACTTACACCTGGAAAAAGCGAGTGTCAGTGAGGAAGTCTGACTCTTTGGCAGCATTTACACCCCTCCCCCCTTTGCACAGATGTAGATGGTAGTGCAGAGCCAGGTGCCTGGTCCTCTACTGGTCAGTAAATACTACGCACAACAACGGCCCTGTAGAAATAATAGTAACAATGATATACTAAGGGCCCAATCCTGCAGCTAGCCCCACTGAAGTCTGTGGGACTACCCACATGAACTAGTGTAAGAGTTGCAAGAGTGGAACCCAGCTAATAAAAAGTCTCACTGTGGTGTATGAACATGAGAAAGATGTTTATGTCAGACAGTTCAGTGTGTATATCAGAGGCACCTGCTGAGACAGCATCTCATCTTTCTCCAGCAATTTCTCAGCTGAATTGGTTTCCTAAAACAAATAGCTGTAGATTCTGCTGATGTGCTTTACCCAAAGCTTAGCTGGAAAGCGCACAGAGGCATCAAGATTCACTACGTAACATTAGAAGCTTTCTAGAATGTTAAGAGTTATTCCTGGGGCTTGACTGTCCAGATTCAAACTGGGAGAAAGAAATTTGGTCAGTCCTTTTATTTTCCTTGCTGCAACTCAAGTTTTCTCATCTTGTATATTAGTATCAATATTAATAGTCCTTCTGCACTCAGATTTCTTTGAAGGGGCTCTTCTGGTATCTTGGATTCCTTTTACAACATATAAGGCTAGATTGTGTGATTTACACACAGTCGTGTGTAGGGCAAAGAAGAGAGTCCACCGCCTGAGGGAACACCAAGAGAGGATATGTCTCAAGTAATATATTCTTTTCTGGAGCTCCCCAGCAGCACATACGCTACTTCATGGGCTTGTGCAGAGGGTAGGGCATGGCCCTGCCTCCTTGCTACCCCCTCTCAGGCAATTTGTTTGTCAGGGAGAGTAAGCAGCAAGCAGGAACTGCTACTGTGACTGGCCCTCGTGCAGGCCATACAAGTGTGGAGGCCTTCTCCTGGAGCACATCTCTGATCACAATCTGGCTCAGGCTGAGAAGGATGCCTGTTCATGTGCCCAAGGGTCATGTCTTACTGCTTTCAAATGTGAAAGATCAGCAAGCAAGCTTTTGAGGGAGACTATTACACCTTAACCACATCCGATTTGGAGTGCTCTATTCTGTTATTCATCACTTTGTCATCTTTAAAGGAGCAACACCAAGTTAAAATAATATGACACACACAAAACTACCTCCTTACCTGTGCACTGACAACATTTAACATTCTAAAAACATTTCAAAACCCTAGAGTCTGGTCACTTCCTTGAAATAAATGTGCATAGGGAACGCCCTCTCCAGTATTTGGACCTGGGACCGCTGAAGCAGAAAGCTGGAGGAAGACAGGATGGGACAGGGAGTTTGTGCATTACTTTCCTCCCCCAAAGACCTACTTGGCACCTGAAAAGTGTTATCCAAAACAAGATGTAATTGGTTTGTGGCCCCCACTCCATCCTCTTGAGGGAGACTCCAGGAAGAGGAAGTGCTGGCAAAACAGTGCAAGAGAAGCCACACAGATTGGGAGTTAGAAGATGGCAAGTGCTTCACAGCTGGTGCAGAAACATCCACATAGATACCCCTGGCCTCCTGAAGATTCTGGGGCTCTGTGGGTTCAGGGACAGAGGGCAAATCCTTATTTATGTATGTTTATTTGGGTGGAAGGGAGAAAATCTAGTATTCCCAGAACAGTTTGGCAAAGACTCTTCCCATGGGTATTTCTACAGGAGAGGGTGATCAGACCTTAAAGCTATTTGTCAATGAAGCAGTTTGTTGTCTTTCTGCACTTCTCAGTTTATTGACTAAAACTAAACTAGTCGGTTTTGTTTATTATCAACACAATGCTGCTTTGCAGGTAGCTCAAAACGTTTTCCCGCAAACATTCCCTCAAATAAAAAACAGTGAATTCAAAATTGTGCCTGTATTCACATCTCTTCGTATTCACTTTCCATTACTATTTTAGTGATGGAGTTTCCTGGCAGAAATGCTCATAGGAACAAAGAGTTTAAAGCAGAGATCAGAAAACATTCACAAATAAGGTCTGAAAATCTTTGGAGTTTTCAAGAACAGGTTGGGAAAAAAACCTATCAGGGATGGTCTAGGTTTACTTGCTCCTGCCTCTGCACAGGGGACTGGGCTTGATGACCTCACAAGATCCCTTCCTATGATTTCTATAATTCTATGTATAAACACAAGCAATCACACTCAAAATTTGATCTAAGAGTTATGCTCAGCCAACCTGAGTATGGAAAAATACCACATGACCTACACGTTCAATCATAACTAACCAACACATCACATTTTGGATTTCAAATACAACAAACTGCAAGTGAACAATCTTAAGATCAATAATAATTCATGTAAGCAAATAATTTTAAACAAATACATTCAAGAAAATTGCAAAAGGCTCACAAACATTTGAGGCTCAATTCAGCACAAATTATGTATTAATTACTCAGATCTAGTTGCAGACACACAAGGGGATGTTTATATCTGAATAGTCTGGTGTTAATTTTATTTGGTTTACATTTCAGGAAGCTATTTCTATTATTAGCTTTTGTAAAACCTTTAACAAAAAATAAAGCTTGGGCCAAAACTACATGGCAATGATCCCTTCAACTGCAGGAGCATGTGTGTAGTACACCGATGACCAGACTTTTTCATGCAGGGTGTGTGTGTGTGTGTGGGGGGGGAGGTAGGTAGGTAGGTAGGTGCAATCTGAAGCCTGATGCCATCAATGCCACTTTCTAGATTGTTAAACATGCTGCAGTTTTGTTCAGTTTTCTGCCCAGAATAGCAATTACTAGCTCAAGATTATTTTATTCATTCATTCATCCAAAACTTCTTTCAATGATCAATCCTGCCCCATTGCTTTGGTTGATTATATCATAACGTCCTAGGCCTGAGAAAACCCACAGTAAGGAACTTGTCGGGTTCTGTTTCCAGAGCCATCAACTCTAGAACACTAGTCTGAATCTAGCTCCACTTGATAGTGACCAAACATTGCTACCATTGGATGACTCTACAGCATCTTATCTGAAGTGAGTTGGTGTTCCATTTCCTAGTGGTTATACACCTCTACCCCGATATAATGTGACCCAATATAACACGAATTTGGATATAACGCGGTAAAGCAGCGCTCCGGGTGGGGCGGGGCTGCGCACTCCGGCGGATCAAAGCAAGTTCGATATAACGCGGTTTCACCTATAACGCAGTAAGATTTTTTGGCTCCCGAGGACTGCGTTATATCGGGGTAGAGGTGTAGTAATTTTGTTGCCTGGCCTTTGGCTGGAGAGCTTTGTGCAATGTCAGAAAGTTCTTTTCATTTGATTCCACCAACCACATCCATATCCAATAAATTTCTAGGCTTCCTCATGTTTCTTAAAGATGATCTGTGAATTTTTTTTTTAAACTGATTTTGAACCCAGAAGATTTTTTGTTCGTTTGAATTTTTGCTACTTAGTTTTTTGAGGGTGTGGTTTGTTTTGTTTTGCGTTACTTTGGAACTAACAGGAATGTTGTCTTGTCATACTACAATCTCCTGGAGGACATCCTGGGGGTCTCACAGCACGTATATTGTTAGCTCTGACACATTATTGAAGGAATGAAGGTGTTGAGTGACACCTTTTCTCCAGAATGTTTAATAGTAAGTGAAGAAGGTGTTCACAAAAATCAAACAGTTTTAAACAGTATGACTAAAAATCCCTTCCCCTCTCAACTGCGCTCAAGTCCTGGAAGGCCATCATTTCACTAACTCTTTAGCCATCGTAGAACCTTCCAGGTTAGACAGGATCTGAACTTCAAATGTAACAAACAAGTAGGAAAAACCCAGGGGTTTGTTTTTGGGGGGTGAGGAAGGGGTGGAAATTAAGCCTTCTTTATACATTATAAAGAATAAAAGGGGGCACAAAGCCATTTTTTTTCCTTTGCAGGTCACCTTTAAGTCTAGGAAATAGACAAAATCTCATAGCTTGTCTTTATTATAGAAGCAGAATATAGGTTCTAATCTTCTGCCCCCTCCCACTTTTGACAGATCTTTACAATACAGTTGACAGAATAAAACCCACCTTTAAGCATACTTTAAATCCTATCTTTCTAATTATTGTTGAGTGCGAGCCTGATCCCATGCTCTTTGAAGTAAACAGGATTGGGATTTG